GACAAAAACCGAAGATGTTCCTTATTATTTCATGATAAGAAAAAAAACTTTTTTTAAAAATTTTTTTTGAATTTTTTTTAAAATTTATTTTTAAAACATAAAACCTAAAACAACATCTTTTTGGAGCAAGAGTTTAGCCCGGTATAACATAGGTATAAATTCCCAATTTCATCCATTGACATCTTACAAACAAACAAAAAATAACAAAACCCAAATCTAAACCCAATTTTTATCATTCAATCTAGCATCTTATTCTAACATTTAAGTTTCTATTATGTAGTCATCCTAACTCTTAAATCTTCAAATCCAAACAGCGTTTTATAGTATTCATTTATCATTTTAACAATCAGTATTTCATGTATTTTCTGTACTTCAAAGACCCAAATCAAGTCAATCTTTCTTTTAGAACACATCTAATAACCAATATAAAATATTTCATTCCTCTCTGAAAGACATTTTAAAGTCAATACCCGTTCTTCAAAAGTATCTCCTTCATTCCTCCTAGGTTTATTTTTAGCTGGATTTCAGCTTAGTTAGCTGGTTTCCAGGGATGCTTTTCCTGATAAGAAAAAATATTTTGTGGACAGAGGAAAAATATTCTGATGAATCTTTTGCATTCATGCTATAGGGACCCAAATATCTTGTCGATATTTGCTGGCGTCTTAAAGCATCTCCACCATAAATCGATTAAAAACGGGGCTAATTTATTGCCGGGCCTTTAAAAGTGGTGATATATGGGAGATCCGATACAAAAACCCAGAGGGATAAAATATCCTTATTTCAATCAAAACAAATCTGGGACCAAAAATATATATATCGTTAAATCTGTACGTGTCAAATCCAGATGTTTCTGGGAGATTTTATCTCGGGCGAATTATTTTCCAAATACGCCAGGAAATACAACAGATTCAGTTCCTATAATGCAGTTCTAAAATGGCGATTTTTAATAGCATTAAAAAAAAAACACCTCACCTTTTTCCTTTATTAAATCCATTTTAAAATAAATGCAACCGAGCTAGAAGGGGTTTATTTCCAAGTAAATAGGCTGTTGGTTGGAACGTCTCATACAATCTGGAAATTATATTTAATTTTTATTTATTTATTTTTATATGCTGCCCTTCTCTGGAGACTCAGGGCGGCTTACAGTGCGTTAAGCAATAGCCTTTATACTTTTGTATATTTTATACAAAGTCAGCTTATTGCCCCCACAAACCGGGTCCTCATTTTACCCACCTTAGAAAGGATGGAAGGCTTATCATGGCTTATTCAGAAATTAATAAATCAAGGGGTTGCATGCTCTGGTCTCTGCAGGGGAAACTCAAAGAAGTCTAACTCTGAAATTCCTGTTAAAGAACCTGTTAAATTCAAAATTATTTCGCTCTGCCCCAATTGGTTGCACTTTGCTTTAAAAAGGTTGACTCAGCCTTCCATCCTTCCGAGGTAGGTAAAACGAGGACCCGGATTGTGGGGGCAATAAGCTGACTTTGTATAAAAAAAAAAGAACACCACTTGGGGGGGGGGGGCAAAAGCCCTACTAAGCAGGTATATATAAAAGTATGAAGGCTATTGCTTAACGCATTGTAAGCCGCCTTGAGTCTCCGGAGAAGGGCGACATGTAAATCGAACCAATAAATAAATAAAGAAAAAAAGAAAAAAAAAGGCAATCCGAGATTTATTAGTTTGGAAATCAATCTCTTTCAGCTGAAGGTTTACTCCTGAGAAAGCCGCAGTGTGAAAAAAATTGGGATTTTGCGGAATTTATTTGATTGCTAAAGATTAGTTTAAAAAGACAGAAGCTCACGCAGCCCAGAAATGCCAAATATAAAATAATAAATATATAAATAAATAAGCTTAGGAGTTTAACCTTACATTGTTTACACAGGATACCGTTAGACCTCTTGCAATTTGCCTACAGAGCAAATAGATCGACAGATGATGCTGTTAATGCACCTACCCTCTGGAATCAGTTGCCCCCAGAGATAAGGAGAATCCATGACCTCAGTGCCTTCCGCCGTGCCCTTAAAACCTTCTTTTTCCAGCAAGCCGGGCTGGCCTAATTTTTTAAGTGTTTTAATTGTTTTGTTTATCGTTTTTAATTAATGGGGCCAAATTTATATATATATATATTTAACTGTATTTTAATATTTGTATTTGATGTTTTTACTTGGCTGTTCACCGCCCTGAGTCCTCAGGGAGAAGGGCGGTATACAAATTCAAAATAAAATAAAATAAATAAAAAAATAAAATAATATGGCTCTGCACTACATCCTTCAACAACTTGGATCTCCAAAGACCTACGCAAGAGTCCTCTTTGTAGACTTCAGCTCAGCATTCAATAGCATCATTCCAGACACACTTCTAACTAAGCTAAACCAGCTACAGGTACCTGAAGACACTTACAAGTGGAGCATAAGCTTCCTAACAGACAGGAAGCAACAGGTGAAGCTAAGCAGAATCACATCAGATACCTGCACAATTAGCACAGGGGTCCCCCAAGGCTGTGTGCTCTCCCCACTTCTCTTCTCTCTCTATACCAAGGACTGCATCTCAAACGATCCATCTGTTAAACTCTGAAGTTCACAGATGACACAACGGTGATCGGTCTCATTCGAGACAACGATGAATCCGCATACAGACGGGAGGTTGAACAACTAGCCTCGTGGTGCGACCGGAACAATCTGGAACTGAAGACACTCAAAACCGTAGAAATGGTGGTGGACTTTAGGAGAACACCTCCCATACTTCCACCTCTCACAATACTAGACAACACAGTATCAACAGTAGAGACCTTCAAGTTTCTAGGTTCTACCATATCTCAAGATCCAAAATGGACACCCAACATCAAAAACGTCATCAAAAAAACACAACAAAGAATGTTTTTTCTGCGCCAACTCAGGAAGCTCAAACTGCCCAAGGAGCTGCTGATCCAGTTCTACAGAGGAATTGTTGAGTCTGTCATCTGCACCTCCATAACTGTCTGGTTTGGTTCTGCAACCCAACAAGACAGACACAGACTTCAGAGGATCATTAGAACGGCAGAAAAAACCATGGCTACCAACCTGCCTTCCATGGAGGACCTGTCTACTGCACGAGTCAAAAAGAGGGCTGGGGAAATATCTACAGACCCCTCGCATCCTGGACATAAACTGTTTCAACTCCCACCCTCAAAACGGCTCCATAGAGCACTGCACACCAGAACAACTAGACACAAGGACAGTTTTTTCCCAAACACCATCACTCTGCTAAACAAATAATTCCCTCAACACTGTCAAATTAACTAGTAAGACTGTATTACTATTATTATTCTTTTCTTCCTTACTAGTCTCTATCTCTTCCCAGTTATTACTATAACCAGGTTGCTTGTATCTTTCAATTTATATTGTTTTTATTTGTTTCCTAGTACGATTTGATAGCTTATTAGTAGCCTCAACTATCACTAAGTGTTGTATCTTTTTATTCTTGATGAATGTATTTTATTCTCCTTATGTACACTGAGAGCATATACACCTAAGACAAATTCCTTGTGTGTCCAATCACACTTGGCCAATAAAGAATTCTATTCTATTCTATTCTATTCTATTCTATTCTATTCTATTCTATATGTATGTATGTACGCATGTATGTATGTCTGTATGTGTGTGTGTGTGTGTGTGTGTGTGTGTGTGTGTGTGTTTTCATAGATTTTCACGGATAGAGGTATGCAAAGTTTGGTGTATTCGGGTCTTTTCCTTTGTAAGATTGAGAGTATCTTGGCCTTTGGTGCATAAGCTCTCGGAGTACATAAAAGAAAAGAAACATTCATCAAGAATCATAAGGTACAACACTTAGTGATAGTCATAGGGTACAAATAAGCAATCAGGAAACAATATCAATATAAGTATGTGTATATATATATATATATTGATATATGTTTATGTAAGTTCAATATATATATATACACATACATACATACATGCATACATATATATGAAAATACCCGGTTGAAGAAAAATATACACACAAAAACCTACAACAAGAGAAATATATATATACACACATGCATACATATATATATATATATGTAGTCCTCGTCTTACAACAGTTCATTTAGCGACCATTGAAAGTTACAACAGCCCTGAAAAAAGGGATTTATGACCGTTTTTCACACTTACGACCATTGTAGCATCCCCGTGGTCACGTGATTTACATTCAGACGCTTGACAATTGATTCATATTTACGACGGTGGCAGTGTCCTGGGTGTGTGTGTGTGTGTCACACAATCCCCTTCTCAGATGGGGAAGCCAGGCTCGCTTAACAACCCTTGTTACTAATTCAACCATTGCAGTTGACTCACTTAACGGCGGCGGCAAGGAAGGTCGTAAAACGGGGCGAAATTCACCGAACAAACATCTCGCTTAGCGACATAAATTCCGGGCTAAGTCGCGGTCGTCGTAAATCGAGGACCGCCTGGGTTGGTTTAATCCTGAATTAGCCACTAAAGCAGGGTTGTGAGATCGCAAGAGGGCCAGTTTGTGTGTGCGTGTGCGTGTGTCCTTCATTGTGTCATTGAATCAGATAAAGTCATTTTTTCCAGAGTTCAGATTTAATGAATGGATGTATTAATTAATTAATTAATCCAAACATTAATTTTTAATTTTTATATAGGTGATCTCATTCCCTCCCTTGTCCTGCCAGTGATCAGGCTGGAGGGGAAGGAAGAAAAAAAAAAAAGATACGTGAAAACAAACAAACAAACAAAACAAAAACCCACGTGGGAATCGAACCAGCGCACCTTAGCAGGGAAAGCCCCGCCCACAGCGCAGCCCCGCCTACCGAACGGGAACGACGCCGCGGGCTCTGCGCGTCTCAACGAAACTACATCGACCGGCATGCCTCCCACCGGCAGCCGGGGTTGAGGCGGGGTGGACGCATGCGCACTACGAGGCGTTATAGGCGGCGAGATTGCGGCGTCTTTTTCCGTCCCTCCCACCCTCGGCGGGGTCGGGGGTCACGCGCCTGCGCAGGAGCGTTCTCCTTTCTCCCCTCAGCGTCGATCCGGCTTCCCTCGCGGTCGGCCTTCCGAGCTTCTTTTCCCCCGCTCTTTCCCGGGCGTCGTCGGCCATGGCGGACACGGCGCAGAACGGGCCCATGCAAGGCGGCGCGGGCGGCGGAGCGGTGGTGAGCGGCCTCGGGAGCCTTTCTTTCCCCATCCACCCCACCCCCCACACCGGGCCGCTTCGGACTACAGGTCCCATCGTCCCCGGCGCGCGTGTGTGGGGGTCGGGCCTCCCCCCCTCCTCTCCTCCCTGGCAGGCCTCGCGTGGGGGGTGGGTGGGGATTAATAAGGCAACTGGGAGGTTTCTGCGTGGTCTCCCATCCCTGGATTAATCAACCAGTGGATTTCCGCGTGGTCTCCCATCCTCTGATTAATATAAATAACTGGGAGATTTCCACGTGGTCTCCCATCCCTGAATTAATAAAGCGACCCATGGATTTCCACAAGGGTCTCCCATCCTCTGATTAATATAAAGCAACTGGGAGGTTTCTGTGTGGTCTCCCATCCTCTGATTAATATTAATTAATTAAATAATTAAATAATTAATAATAATAATAATAATTAATAATTATAATAATAATTAAATAATTAATTAATATTAATCTGATTAATAAAGTGACCTGTGGATTTCCATGTGGTCTCCCATCCTCTGATTAATATAAAGCAACTGGGAGATTTCCATGTGGTCTCCCATCCCTGGATTAATAAAGTGACCCATGGATTTCCACAAGGGTCTCCCATCCTCTGATTAATATAAAGCAACTGGGAGGTTTCCCCGTGGTCTCCCATCCCTGGATTAATAGTGGATTTCCCCGTGGTCTCCCATCCCTGGATTAATAAAGCAACCCGGAGATTTCTGCATGGTCTCCTATCCTCTGATTAATAAAGCGACCTGTGGATTTCTGTGTGGTCTCCCCTCCCTGGATTAATCCGTGGATTTCCGTCTGGTCTCCCATCCCTGAATTAATCAACCGGCAGATTTCTGCGTGGTCTCCCATCCTTGGATTAATAAAGCAACTGGGAAATTTCCACATGGTCTCCCATCCCTGAATTAAAGCGACCTGTGGATTTCCATCCCTGAATTAATGAAGTGACGCATGTATTTTCTTGTCTTCCATCCCTGGATTAATAAAGTGACCTGTGGATTTCCGCATGGTCTCCCATCCCTGGATTAATCAACTCGTGGATTTCCATGTGGTCTCCCATCCCTGGATTAATCAACCCATGGATTTCCTCATGGTCTCCCATCTCAGGATTTAGCTGGGCGCTACCATGGACGGTACTAAGGGAAGAGCACTGATTTTCCCCTCTCTACAGATAATCCTCGACTTACGACCACAATTGAGTCTCAGATTTCGGTTGCTAAGCAAGTGAGACAGTGGTTAAGTGCCTGATTTTGCCACCTTCCTTACCATGGTTGCTAAGTGAATCACCGCAGATGATACGTTAGCAACCCGGTCATTAAGTGAATCTGGCTTCCCCATTGACTTTGCTCATCAGAAGGTTGCAAAAGGGGATGGTGTGATCCCGGGGCACTGCGACCGTCATAAATATGAGTCAGTTGGCAAGCATCCATGTGACCACAGAGATGCTGCAACGGTTGTAAGTGTGAAAAAACGGTCCTAAATCACCTTTTTCAGTGACGTCGTAACTTCAAAACGGTCGCTAAATATACGGTTGTAAATCGAGGATTGCCTGTAAAAAAAAAAGGAATTATTGTCTGCTGTCTATATGCCACGGCTGAATATTTGTGGATTTAATGTCAGGCATGACACTTTTCTGCATGAACTTTTTTCTTTCGTTCCAGCAATTTCTGATGAGTAACAAGTTGGACACGGCAATGTGGCTTTCTCGGATATTCACAATTTATTGTTCAGCTTTATTTGTCCTTCCTCTTCTAGGGTATGTATAATATTTTCTTAAGAAATCATGATGCTCCTGGTCCTTAGGTAGCATAGTATCAATTTTAGGGGCACAGCACGGTATAAATTTAGGTTGCATGGTATAAATTTTAGGGACACAACACTGTATAAATTTATGGTAGCATAGTATCAATTTTAGGGACACAACACCATAAAAATTTAGGATAGCATAGTATCAATTTTAGGCACACAACAGAAAGTATCAATAATTTTTAACATGTTTTATGTTATATTGTCACAAATGGAGCCAAATATATTGTGGTCCAATCAGGGATTAGCAGTTTGATATTCAATGGACTTCAGTGGTAAAGATCACATATTGGATTTAAATTACCAGTTGATCAATAGCATACGCTTTACTTGTGATCAACTTTTTAAAAAAACATTGCTGCTTCTGATTTTAGTCCTTTAATTTGGCCTGGACAACTTACATAACCAATTCAGTGTGAGTCAGCGGAGGCAAAACTTTCGGATTTCAACACTTCCCCTCATTTAAAACTCTTTTTCTTTCATTCACATTTTTATTGAGTTATAGAGTATTATAAAATACAAAGTAAATAGAAAAACAATTAGGGGGACGGAGAGGGGAAAGAGAAGTGAGGAAGATAAGAAAGAAAAAGAAACATTGACTTCCAACACACACTGTAATAGTAAAATAAGGCATTAACATCAAATCACAACCTTTTGCTTTTTCATACCCTGTTTCCCCCAAAATAAGACATCCCCTGATAATAAGCCCAATCGGATTTTTGAGCGCATGGCAATAAGGCGCTCAAAATCGGGGTTCAAAAAAATATAAGACAGGGTCTTATTTTCGGGAAAACACAGTAGATACAGATGATAGATAAATAGTAAGACGGATAGATAGAGAGAGAGAGAGAGAGAGAGAGAGATACCCTGTTTCCCCCAAAATAAGACATCCCCTGATAATAATCCCAATCGGGCTTTTGAGTGCATGGCAATAATATTATTGAAATAATAATATTTCAGGGTTCAAAAAAATATAAGTCAGGGTCTTATTTTCGGGAAAACACAGTAGATACAGATGATAGGTAAATAGCAAGACAGACAGACAGACAGATGATAGATATAGATACACATACCCTGTTTCCCCCAAAATAAGACATCCCCTGATAATAATCCCAATCGGGCTTTTGAGTGCATGGCAATAATATTATTGAAATAATAATATTTCAGGATTCAAAAAAATATAAGACAGGGTCTTATTTTTGGGGAAACAAGGTAATAATATGAACAAGCCATTTCTATAAAGATCTATCAATCTAATCGGTAAAACCCAAAATCCAAGTTTCATTCTTTTCCACATCAAGCACGAAGTTCAGAAGCGGTTTCCATGTCGAAACAAAAAGTACTAATATTCTTTCCTTTAATCAAAAGTGGTCAGTTTTGCCCTTTCAGCCAACTCTCATCAACTTTTGCAACCGTTCGTCCGTGGTAGGAATCGAAGCGTCCTTCCGTTTTTGTGCGTACAATAGTCCCATCGAGTCATTTAAAACTCGTAAAATACTGCTTAACCTAACTTTTTAACCTTTATTTGATTGTTTTAATGTGCCGGAACGCCACGAAGCTTCACAGGGTAGAGCCATTTGTCTTTCGTGGAAGGCATAATAATACAATGCCCGGGCTTGCCGGTTGAGCAGGGCAGATTTCAACACCACGGTGTCGGTGATGCAATTCAATGCTCGTGGGAGGAAGGCTTGGAGCTGTGGCTGGTTTGTATGGTAACTTCTTCCTTGGATAATTCCCAGGTTGCACGAAGCAGCGAGCTTTTACCAGAGGGCTTTGCTGGCGAACGCGCTCACCAGCGCCCTGCGTCTCCACCAGCGGCTGTCACATTTCCAGCTAAGCCGGGCATTCTTATCTCAAGCATTGTTGGAAGACAGTTGCCATTACCTTCTCTATTCTCTCATCTTCGTTAATTCCTACCCCGTCACAAGTATCCTTTTCTTTTTTAGAAGGGTAATTTATTTTTTTTTATGTCTGGAGAAGCCTGACTCGGTGGCTAAGACGCTGAGCTTGTCGATCAGAAAGCTCGGCAGTTCGGCGGTTCGAATCCCTAGTTCAGGTCTCCTGTGTGAGCGGGGGGGTTATTTATTTATTTATTGGTTCGATTTATATGCCGCCCTTTTCCGGAGACTCGGGGCGGCTTACAACGCGTTAAGCAATAGCCTTCATACTTTGGTTGGACTAAATGACCGCCAAGGTGCCTTCCAACCCTTGTTGCTGAGCCCGAAAGTTGGATCTGCACATTTGTTGTAGGGCTTGGACTGAGCTGAAAGGCAAGCCAGATTTAAAGTCCCTATCTTGGAGCCCAGGGAACTGCGGGATTTTATAGGAACGTTGAAAAAAATAATAAAAAGGAGAAATCACTAATTTTACCCGTGAGTCATCTTCACTGGCTTCTTACCGGCAGTAAGGATTTCTGCGAGAAGAGTAAACGGAGTGTAAAAAATCTGTAGTAAATAAAAGACTGCAAGAAAGCTTCCTTGGCCAGTGAAAAAGGACAAAAGAAATAAGGATGGTGGGTTAAAAAACAACAGTTTATTTTCTTAATCAAGATAGGATTTATAATATTATACAGGGGGTCCTCGAGCCTGCGACCGTTCCTTTAGTGACCGTTTGAAGTCACAACGGCGTTGAAAAAAGTGACTTAGGACCATTTTTCACACTTACGACCGTTGCAGTGATCAAAATTCAGACACTTGGCAACTGACTCATACTGTATTTATGATCGTTGCAGCATCCCGGGGGGGGTGGGGGGTGTCACGTAATCCCCTATTGCGACCTCCTGATAAGCAAAATCCATGGGGGAAGCCAGATTCACTTAACAACCGGGTTACCATCTTAACAACTGCTGTGATTCGTTTAATGACGACAGCCGGAAAGGTCGTAAAATGGGGCAAAATCCACTTAACAAAAATGTCGCTTAGCAACAAAAAATTGTTGGGCTCAACTGTGGTCGTAGGTCGAGGACTACCTGTATAGTGCCTTGAGCCCTTTGAAGAAGCCTTGTGATGTTTGATTGATTAATTAATTAAAACGGCTGCCCACGTCACTTTTAGTGACCAGGCGGCTTAGAAAGATAAAAAATGCAATGAGTTCTTAATGATATTCAATTACCTGTCCATCTCTTTTCACAAGCCTGTTTTGTTCAGGAGTGTTTCAAATCGGCATCAGTTATAATAATAAAGTAAAATCTTCCTCAACGTAGACAGTATTCTTTTCTTAGCAATATTACCATGGTTTACCGAATTGCAGGATTTTTAAAACTCGTCAACTCTTAATTATAACGTTGCGCCCTTAACTTTGACTTCAGTGAGCATTTTCCCCGTCCTGTTGTTTTCGCTGCTTCATGCTGTGACCTACACAAAGAAAGTTCTTGATGTAAGTATGATTTTTTTTTTGACATCTGATCTGTTTTTCTGCTCCGAGATCTGGGCTGGTTATAGAGCAGTTCTTCTCAACCTTGGGAATGTTTAAGTTGCGTGGACTTCTTAAAACATTCCCAAAGTTGAGAAACCCTATTATATTGGGGTTTCTTCTTGGACCATTAAGAAGGCCATTCTTCTCCTCCTCCTTATGCCATATCCGTCATCGGACGTTGACGATCATATTGGCGATCCAATTTTTATCAACAGCTGCACGAAAAAGTGCTGAGTTTTATCCAAACCGGTCCCTTAGACTTTGAAGCTATGATGTTCTTCTGCTTGGACCTCCTTTGCCTTATATTTTTCCCTGGAGGATTAAGTGAAGTACCGTACTTTTCAGACTACGAGACACACTTTTTTGTCTCCCAAAAGGGAGTGAAAATGTCTGTGCATCTTATAGACCGAATATTGCCGAAGCCCCGCCCACCTGCCGGCTGTTTTTTTGGCCTCCGCACACCCCGTTTTGGGGCCTTTTTTGGCCTGTTTTGGAGCCTTTTTTGGCCTGTTTTGGGGACTTTTTTCAGCCCGTTTTTGGGACTTTTTTCAGCCAGTTTTTGGGACTTTTTTTTTTGGCCCATTTTCGAGGCTTTTTTTTGGCCCACTTTTTCTGAAAAAATGGGCCGAAAAAAGCCTTGAAAATGGGCCAAAAAAAGCCCTGAAAATGGGCTGAAAAAGCCTTGAAAACATGCCGAAAAAAGCCTTGAAAACATGCCGAAAAAAGCCCTGAAAACATGCCGAAAAAAGCCTCAAAAACAGGCCGAAAAAAGCCTTGAAAACAGGCCAAAAAAAGCCTCGAAAATGGGCTGAAAAAAGCCTTGAAAACTTGCCGAAAAAAGCCTTGAAAACAGGCCGAAAAAAGCCTCGAAAAGGGCTGAAAATGGGGCGCGCGGAGGCCAAGACCTTTTTTGAGGCTTGGCAACTGACTTGTATTTATGACGGTTGCAGTGACCTGGGGTTATGAGATCCCAACCCCTTTGGTGACCTGATGAGCACAGTGGGAAAACCAGATTTCACTTAACAACTGTGTTTCTGAGATAACAATGGCAGGGGTTCGCTTAACAACTGTGGCAAGGAAGAAAAACGGGGGCAAAGTTCACTGAAGAAATGTTTCACTTAGCTACGCAAATGTTGGGCACGATTGTCGTAAATCGAGGACTGTGCTCATGGAATGGATAAAGCAGTTGTGAGATACTATTACACACATGTGGTATTAATGGTATTCACAGTTAACTCTTTAGATTCCCAAGGACCAAGATGTTTGCAAAGCTGGTTTAGATCTTAGAGGATTAATTAGTGCCTTTCATGGTTTATAAATATTAAGAGTTGAAAACATCTACGGAGTTTTTATTTTTCCTTGGTAAATTAGCATAAGCCGGAACAAGTACCGTAATTTACAGGGATATTTATTTGTCTTTCTCCCTTCTTTTTCAAGGCACGGGGCTCAAATAGCCTTCCTTTTCTAAGAAATCTGTTGGACAAGTTAAACGCTAATCAGCAAAACATCTTAAAATTTATTGCCTGCAACGAAATTTTCTTGATGCCAGCTACCGTGTTTATGCTTTTCAGGTATGTGTCCTTTGTAGTCCTTCATATATATATATATATATTTTTCAAGCTTTCTAAACTGCACCCGGAGTTTGGAATGCAGTATTTCCCGTCTCTCAAAGAAACCTGATTTACTGGGTGAAGATAAAGGCCCAGAATAGTGATTAATTCAAGGTTTTATGATTGCCATGAGAACTTTAAAGAGCCCCAGAGCCGAACTGCAGAATATCTGCTTTGGAATTATTTCCAGACAGTATAACGGTATAAACCGGAGTGGAAGACCTGTATTGACTTAATTTTTAGATGAATTTGATGTTCAAGTCCTAAGATCAACTAAACCAAAACTGACTTTTGTTCCAAACATCTATTTTCTTCTTCTTTTTTTTTAATCCTGCAGTGTCTCAATGCTATATCTTAACTGCTTTCCAGAATCCTGTAGGAAAATTATATAAGCTATATAATAACTGATCCGCTTTTGCGACCTTTCGACAAGCGGTCAGTGGGGAAGCCTGATTCACTTAACAACCGGGTTACTAATTTATCAATTGCTGATTCATTTAACAACTGGAGCTAGAAAGGTTGTAAAACGGGGCAAAATTCACTTAGCAAGTGTCTCACTTAACAACAGAAATATTGGGCTCGATTGTGGTCATAAGTCGAGGACTACAGGTAGTCATTGACGACCACAATTGGGACGACATTTTGCTTACTAAGCAGCGTGGTCCTTAAGTGACTTATGTGTCCAGACTCGATTGTACAACCATCTGCAGTGGTTGTTAAATGAATCACAGGTTGTTAAGCGAATCACATGGTTATTAAGCTTCCCCAATGGACTTTGCTTATCGGACGCCATCCGGGAAGGTCAGAAATCAAGATCACGTGACGGCAGGGTGTGATGTGATGATTGTAACTTCCCAGGATGAGTCATAAGTCACTTTTTCTGAGGCCGTTATAAATTTGAAATGTTGTTAAACTTGTCAATAAGTTGAGGACTACCTGGACTTCTTAAATAATGTATAACTATTATTGTTGTAAGGGACGCAGTGGCTCAGTGGCTAAGACACTGAGCTTATTGATTGAAAGTCGGCAGTTCAGCGGTTCGAATCCCTAGTGCCGCGTAACGGGGTGAGCTCCTGTGACTTGTCCCAGCTTCTGCCAACCTAGCAGTTTGAAACCACGTAAAAAAATGCAAGTAGAAAAACAGGAACCACCTTTGGTGGGAAGGGAACAGCGTTCTGTGCGCCTTTGGCGTTGAGTCATGCCGGCCACATGACCACGGAGACGTCTTCGGACAGCGCTGGCTCTTCAGCTTTGAAACGGCGATGAGCACCGCCCCCTAGAGTCGAGAACGACTAGCACATATGTGCAAGGGGAACCTTTACCTTTACCTTATTATTGTTGTGAATTAATATCATGTGCTGTTTGCAGTCCTCCCTATACATCCATGAAGAGACAGATTATTGGTGTTATAAATCGCTCTTAAACATTGGGAAAAGTGGAATAAAATATATTGTTTATTACTTTGGTATCTTAAACAGGATTCAGACGATAAAAGATACTTCTTATACGGGGACAAAACTTTGAAGAGGAGCAGCCAACTGTCTTCATGGCGGGTTTTTTTGTTTTTTTTTTTTGGCTTCAGAATATTCCTTTGTCACAATTAAGGTCATTATGTGGGCTGGTGGTGGATAATGCATTTATAGTCAGGCTAACATATGGCACCATATTGCCGGAGGCTGCTCTATAGACACCGTTTCTTGGAAATAAGCCCAATTAAACTCATTGAGGCTTATTTTTAAATAAGGGAATTGCTTTCAGACAAGCCTGCGTAGAAAATAAAGCTGCCTTGAACACAGCGGGGTCTGTTCCCCAGTGAAACTGGACAGGCAGTGCTTCTCCTCTTTTATCATTTGTCATCTTTTCATGCTTTCTTCGTTGTTTTTCTTTTTTGGGGGGATATTGCCACTATTTTTGGCAATTGAAGCATGTTAACGTCATGAGCTATCGATCTATTTGGGTGTACATCTACAACAAAATATTGACCTATATAAGATTCATTCATTCAAAATGTGGCATACAGGTAGTCCTCGACGTACGACCCACCGTTGAGCCCAGAATTTCTGTTGCTAAGAGAGACTGTGGCGAAGTGAGTTTTGCCCCCTTTTACGGCCTGTCCTGCCGCCGCTATTGAGCGAATCCCTGCAGCTGCGTAGTTATTAACATGCGTTATAAACATGTTAACATAGTTATTAACGTGTTAAGTGCGCCCGGCTTCCCCGGGGACTTCGATGGTCAGAAGGGGCGCAAAAGGGGAGATCACGTGGCCGTAGGACACTGCAACCGTCATAAGTACATGCCAGTTTCGCAGCATCCACATTTTGATCACGTGACCATTAGGGATGCTGGAAAGGTAAATGGGAAAACGGTCATAAATTACTTCTTTCAGTGCCGTTTGTGACATCGAACAGCCACTAAACAAATGGTTATAAGTCGAGAACCCCCTGTATAATATTATAAATCCTATCTTGATTAAGAAAATAAACTGCTGTTGTTGTTTTTTTAACTCACCGCCCTTCTCTCTTTTGTCCTTTTCAGCGGCCAAGGAAGCTTGTTGCAGCCTTTCATTTACTACAGATTCCTTACACTCCGTTACTCTTCCCGCAGAAATCCTTACTGCCGGTAAGAAGCCAGTGAAGATTACTCACGCGTGAAATTATTATTTTTCCCCCCCATGTTTTATTTATTTTATTTATATAACATTCAATTTCCATCGAACAGTGTGTGGTCTGGGTACAGTTATTTTTAAACAATCATAATCCACATATGTGTTGTATTCATCGCAATAATATTGATAATATAATAATATAATAACAATATTTAACATCATCTTTAACAACTCTTCACGTTAACATTTCCTCTTTTGATGTTTCCTCTTTTCTAACTTCTGTTTCTATTGTCTAGCCCAGTGATGGCTAACCTTTTTGCCGTCGCGTGCCAAAAGCGTGGGGTGCATGGGGGAATCGCGTGTGCGTGCCGATACCCATAATTCAATGCCCCCCGCCCCCCACGCATGCATGCGTGACCGCCCCCCCTTCATACTCCCTGCGCTCTACAGGCTTTCCTGGAGCCTGGGGAGGGTGAAAACTGCCTTCCCCACCCCAGAAGGCCCTCCGGAGGTTGGAAACAGTGCCATAGGTTCGCCATCATGGGACTAGCCATTGATAAAATACATCCCCTATAAAAAAAATATTCAGTTTCTTCTTTATCCTTAATAGTGAGCGTTAAACTATCCATTTCTGCGCATTCTAATATTTTCTTAATAACCTCCTCCTCTGACGGAATCTCATCGTTTTTCCGTTGCTGTGCAAATGCATTTCTAGTTGTGGTTAGTATATGTAAAACCAGATACATAAGTCCTTTTATCATATTTTTCCGGTAGAACGCCCAACAAAAATATCTTTGGTTTCAAGTCTCTGTGTTGCTTTGTCATTTTTTCCAGCCAAGTATGTATTTTTGTCCAGCGTGAAATTACTGTGAGAGCTGCTGGTGTTTCCTCTCGATTTATCTTTCATAGCTATAATTCCATTAAAAAAATGCTTTCACCTTCTCTGCCCGGAGTGTTATAAATTGTGGGAAGAAAACCCAGGTCTAAAAATGATAGGATTTATGCATTTAAGATCCGAAGTTTAATCTCCGGGTTACTTTCTCGTTAATTGGGTTTTGGGACTTCCAGATCAACAATTGTGCTGCTGAACAAAAGCATTGAAAGAGGGATGCCTTTCGAAGCTCTGAAAATCACAAACTTTGTTCAGGTTGCTCCTCGCGTTTTTTTTAGAATTTAGGGTCGACCTTAACAGAAATATACTGTCGGTAGATGAAATTTGGGGTGCATTTTTGTACTTTTTGTACATTCTTGCCAAATTTCTTAGAGCAAGAGTTGTCTCGAGTGGGATCTGTGTGGCTCACTCAGGAGGGGACTTTGCAATATTTCTAGGAGATTTTATGTTGCTGCTGTTAGACAATTTTGCAACTTTTCAGAATTTTGTTTGCTGTCACACGGTTATGTCTGCTTCATCGTTTTTCGTTAGCCACCACAAATACTTTTGAGTTTGTAACGTAAAGACATTAATGATTCAGTTTAGAGTAATAAACAGCCAACTTTTTTTTTCCTACCTTACAGCAATGGGGCTGAGTATCACAGACACTGAGCAAAAATAGGTTGAGAATTAGAAGATTTTTCTGCAATTAAAGTTGACAATCCTTAAATCCTGTTTTGGTTGGTTTTTCTGCCTTTTTTTCTGTTTAGTGGCACTTAACTATTTTTCTTAGCTTCATTTTTAATGTTTGTCTTGCATTATTCTGGCTCATTCCTCTTGACGTTTTCTAATATTCTTTCTAGTTAAAAGTCCCATGGATCTATAAGTTATATTTGGTTTGTGATTTCCTTTGTGCTGGTTAACGGCGCTAACAAAGATCGATGATCATGATGATACTCGAATCCTTCATTCTCCTCCCTTCTTTTAAACCTTTGTCCCTGAGTCATGGCTGTTGAGTTTGCTTAGGCCTTTTTTTAATTGCCTTTTCCTCTTAGATTGTTTTGACGCCGTTTTATACGTCATCTGCCTTATTCTGGCTTCAATTCTGCTTGCATTTATGTTCCTGATTTCCTGTTAGAATGGAGGATGGGCTACTCTTGAAAATCCATTCCTGCACGATTGACAACATAATCAGTATTTAAATTTAGTGTGAATTACAGGTAGTCCTCGACTTACAACCACAATTGAGCCCAAAATTTATGATGTAAAATTTACTTGCTAAGCGAGACAGTTGTTAAATGAATGTTGCTTCATTTTACGACCTATGTTGCCACTCTTGTTAAATGACTCACTGTGGCTGTATGCAACGAAATGTCATTTTAATGTATGCCGATTAGTGTATATTCAAAGTGACAAAGTTGTTATTCTATTCTATTCTATTCTATTCTATTCTATTCTATTCTATTCTATTCTATTCTATTCTTATTTCATTCCATTCCACTCTACTCTAATTATTCATTCTGTTCTGTTCTGTTCTATTCTAGTTAGCAACATGATTGTTAAATGAATCTGGCTTCCCCATTGACTTCGCAAAAGGGGATCACATGATCCCAGGACACTGCAACGGTCATAAAGATGAATCACTTTGCCAAGCATTTGAATTTTGTTTGTGTGAGCCCGGGGATGCTGCATTGGTTTCTAAGCGTGAAAAACGGTCATAAGTTGCTTTTTCAGCGATGTAGCCTTGAACGGTCACTAAGTGAACTGTTGTAAGTCGAGGTCTACCTGTAGCAGAGATGGGAGAGCTGCTGTTTCATGTGAATTTGAAAATATATTTGTCAACATCCTGACAGACGATCCCAAATAAAACAAGCACATTCGAGATCTGCCAACCTCTCAATGCAAAACTTTATTGAGTACATCATTCTGGCACTAATGAAGGCAAAACCAGCCCTAGTTAATTCCCGCGTAAACCCACATTGTTACAACAGATAATTCCCCCTCCCACCTATTAGCGCAGGTGCCCGTTGCCCAATGGAGTGTCCTTGTATTGTTATGAGAAAGAGTCTCTTGGTTTTGGCTGACACCTGGAGATGTGTCCTTGGCTCCCATGGCTTTCCTCCTTGAAATCTGGAACCTGCATTCCTTCTCGCCCTCCCCTCCACCCCCACCCCCCCAGTCTAGTTGAGAAGTGATAATAGTTGCAACGGCATGAACGCGCTTCGAGCTTGAAAATCTGTTTCTCTTTTCAGGACCCTCTTTACGGAACTGAGGATCGTGGTTGAGCATCTCATCATGAAACCGTCATGCCCTCTGTTCCTGCGAAGGCTCTGCGTCAGCAGCATTTCTTTTATAAGCAGACTGGCCCCCACAGTTGCGTAGCTCACCTTGGAAACCCCCCTTGCGTCTCTCTCTCTTTCTCTCTCTCTCTTTCTCTCTAACGAACATTCTGAGCAGCTGGAATTTCTGCTGGTGATTTATATAAATACAGGATCTCAGGCAAGGTTGTATAGAAATGGTTCCTTCCAAGAATCTGTTTTGTGGAGTGTATTTTATCTATATGGGTGGTTGTTTTTTGTTTTTGTTTTTTTAAAAAAAGTCTGTTTTTCTTTCCTCAAGCCGATGTTTCTGTATTTTGTGGACGATGAAACGCCTCTCGTCTTAGGCAACATTTCATCTTTAGGCGAGCATCAATCTGTGTTGTACCATATGGTTTATGTGTCGTGATCTCAGTAATCCCGAAGGGCAAAATGTTTCTTCAAACCCGAGAAACGACGTCAGGCTGTCCTGTCTGGATCATGTCATTAACAAAGCTACGGTTTAGTACTCCTTGGGCTTCGGCATTCGAAATAGCTTCCTACGCGGTACATTTGAGTCAGTATTCCTTCGGTGAATAAATGCAAAGTTCATTAAATCATCCTACTCAACCCAAATCAGTTCTGCACATGAACGATCGGTCTAAACATTTAACGGTGCCCTTCTGATTTACTTAATGCTTTTGAAATGGAAACTCTTCACCCTTTCTCCAGCAATATCTTTTTTTTTTTTTTAAATTTTTCTCGGTACAAGATTTCTGCTACCCGAACGCCCTCTGATTTCGGCTCGCTTCTGAAACTGGGATTCTTTAAAATGCCAATCTGTGACACCTTGGAATAATAAAGATGGATGTTGTGTTTATCCCCAAGGAACTCCTGGTGTTTGTACCCTAAGCATCGCTCAGCTGGACTGCTGCAGTTCAGCCTCTTGGGGAGATTCCTAAACCACAGTTGAAACCAGGGGTGGGATTGAAAAATTATAGCAACCGATTCTCTGCCCGGTTGCTGGGTGGGCGTGTGTGGCCTACTTGGCCTCCTGCACCACAGTGTGTGTGTGTGGGGGGGTGTTTTCGTCCTCCCCAGCCTCCGGAGGCTTTCCCTGAGCTTCCGGGAGGGCACAAACGGCCTCCCCTGGGTTCTGGGGGCCAGAAACGGGCCCATTTCCAGACTTCTGGGAGGCCTGTTTTTCGCCCTCCCAGAGCCTCCACATAAGCCCTGCACTCACTGGGCATCTAAAACAGGCCGCGTGGAGACTCCTGGGGAGGGGCGGGGTGGCCGGGGCCAGCCAGTCCTCACAACTACCGGTTCGGCGAACCAGATGTAAAATTAGCATCCGGTTTCCCCGAACCGGTTGAATCCCGCCCCTGATTGAAACCCGGTCTATAGAAGTTGCATGGAAGCATCACAATACATTTACAAGCGGTCAGGGAAGACGTCCCTGTAAGGCTGAAGCAGAACTAGTCTTTAAAATACAAAATGTGCCTCTCCTTTCCTTTCAGCTTGTGGGTCTGTTTGTGTTGGCAGCCACTGTCCTGCCACTGAAAGGAACTGGAAAGGCACATGAGTATTTTCATCCCTGCTTCTCACCTTAATCAGGTATGGCGGTGTGAGGTGCACGGGTGTGGAGACCCGAAAGATTTCTCCCTGCGCAGCTGTGTATAGCTGTACCAAGAAACATCTCACCGATTGTGGTGGCGATGGTGTCAGTGGTGGGTTTCGCCGTGTGCACACTCGCCTTGCGCACATGCCTTCTGCATATCCTCCTGGCCTTTTGTGCATGCGCTTTGCTTGTGCGCAGGCCTTCCATGCCTGCCCCCGGCCTCAAAACCGTGGCTAAATAGGAAGGCATTATGCTGGGGCAAGTTTGCACAAACCGGTACGAACCGGCTGAAGACCACCTCTGGATGGTGTGTCGGGTGGGTTCTACTTATCTTTACTACCGGTTTGCAACGGGATCGTGCTCGTTTGCTTTGCTTGCGCATGCACAGATCGCTGATGACAACATCCGGGGCAATGGGTGGGGCCTCCTGCCGGTTTTAGTACCGGTTCTTGCGAACCGGTCTGTACCGGGGGCAACCCACCACTGGCTTGTGTGTCTATATGCACTGTTGAGAATAACATAGCAGCAAATACCAGTGTTTCCTCAACCGTGGCAACTTTAAGACGTGTGGACTTCAACCCCCAGACTCCCACGGCTGGCTGGGGAATCCTGGGAGCTGAAGTCCACACCTCTTAAAAGTTGCCAAGGTTGAGGACCCCGCTGCCCCTTGGATGTAAGTGGGGAATCGGTGGCCATGCTGGGTTTAGCCACCCCATAGGCTTAAGGCTGAAATTGCTGAACAGGGACACAACGGACTGCAATCTGGCTCATCCTGTCTGTGACTTCTTCGTAGGCATCTATTTGACGACCATTAAATACAGGCAGTCCTCGATTTAACGACAGTTCGTTTAAGTGGCTGTTCCAAGTTTCAACGGCACTGGAAAAAGTGGCTTGTGACTGTGTTTCGCTCTTGCGACCGTTGCCGCGTCCCCATAGTCACGTGACCAAATTTTGGATGTTCGGCAACGGGCTCCTTATTTATGACGGTTTCCATGCCCCGGGGTCATGTGACCGCCCAACAAACCAAAATCAACGGGGAAAGCCAGATTCACTTAACAACCTTGTTGCTGACGACGGTAGCGAGTCACTTAACAAACTGTGGCAAGAAAGGTCGTGAAATGGGGGCAGAACTCAACCAGAGTTGAGACAGACTTAACCAAAGTCTCACTTAACCACTGAAATTTTGGGCTCAGCGGTGGTCGTACGTCGAGGACTGCCTGTATTGTCTCAGCGGTTACTTTTAGCGCCTTGCTATAAATCTTGGTTCGATTACAGAACTCAACTTTTTCTGTGTTTCCTGCACGTTTCATCTAAATTTTGGCGTTTCTCCCAGGTATATGTTTTAGGCCCTGATGGTTTATTTCAGTGGCGAAACGTAAAATTTGTTACTAATGGTTCTGTGGGCGTGGCTTGGTGGGGGGTGTAATGTGACAGTGGGCGTGGCCAACAAGAATAAACAAAGTCTGGCAAAGATTGGCAACCAGCCCAGAAAACAAGATATGATAAGACACTCACTCTCCAAAATGCTCTGTAATAATTACACGTCGTTTCCAGCAAGAAATTACTGAGTGCGACTTAAATAGGCTAAGGGAGTGGCCAATTATCCTCAAACCTTACTCTCGAGGAGACCTCCTCCTCCTGAGTAGCCACTCCTGCGTGCTCGAGCATTGAGGAGAGGCTCCTCCACTTCGCTCTCTCCACTTGAAGGAGCCTCTGGAGGTTCTGAAGGCCCAGGCTGAGTCTCTCTGCCTCTGGCACCACATCCTCTTCAGCCTCCTCGCTGTCCGACGCGAGCGCCGGCTGCTGGCGCGACCCCACACCATCCTCCTCGTCGTCGGGATCAGCCACGATCCGCGCAGGCCGCTGGCGGGCCACAACACTCACTGAGAATATATCTGCTGGAGAAAAAACTCCTCATTGGAAACGGGAAAGGCATCCGGCCAGTAAACATTCAACTCAGCTCCATTCAGACTCCACCCCGCAAGGGATTATGGGGTCATTAAAAGAAGAAGACGATTAAAAAAGATTAAAGGGCTCTTAGCGGGTGCCCTCTCATTCTTTTGCTAGCTGTTAAGAGCGAGAAAAAAAATACACGCAGGGACTAAGCTTTATATATAGCACTTTGCAGATTTGCTTCTGAAAGACCTTGGGCTCCCCATTCCTTTTATTAAATAGGGATGCCCGGCTGAAAAAGTGTACGTACCACGCTTTTTAAAATGGTTTTGCAGAGCGATGGTTGATGGATGCATTAGCACCGGTGCGGCCAGCATCACTGAGCTGTAAAGGGCAAAATGGATGGGTTAGCCTTGGAGGGGAAAAAAAAAAAATTAAAGCATTCGTTTTGCCCTTGAAAAACCATCAGGGGAAGGAGAAATAAAATTATTTCCAGAAATAATCCGAATATTTTAACTCCATCCATTTTGCCGAGGTTTTCAACCTGGCCTGCAGCCCAAGGCATTTATTTCTCTTTTTTTTCCTTGCAAGTTAGTTAGGCTAGTTTTGTTTGGCATGCATTATATATTCCTTTTTTCTTTTCTTTTTTTTTTTTTATGGTGTAGAGAAGTTGGTCTCTTGCCCTTGGAATAACAGAATCATTTTTAGGTAAGCAGATTGCTGCTATGCATCTCAAGATGCCATGGGCTTGAGAGCATAAATTAAGGTGGGGTGGAGTGTGTGGAATTGAAAATTTCATCATTTTTCCCCCCCCCCTTGTCTTCGAGGACCGAAGGAGCACAAAATGCTAATGCTGGCCTCCGAGGGGAAATAGTTCTCCGGCATATTTGAAGAAAAAATGTGAAACCCTTTCAAAAGAAATCTAATAAGCATAATCGTGGCAGCCTGCTTTCTCTCTCTCTCTCTCTCTCTTTTATTAACGCCGCAATTTAGTGGCCCCCGCTGATTTACGAATTGGATCACAATGGTAAATTATCCAATGGATAAGAAGTGCTGAGATCTGTATGGGTTTGGAGGGCTGCTTAAATCAGCAAAAAATAAAAAATAAAATGATAAATTTGATGGCCTGAAAATTGGAACTACCCAGGGCCTTCGGCAGGGATAAGGCAAAATACTTCTTCCCCCTCCCACCCATTATTATTATTATTATTATTATTATTATTATTATTATTATTATTATTATTATTATTATTATTATTATTATTATTATTATTATTATTGGTTAATCTTTAGTGAGATTCACAGCCTTTGAGGCTGGTTAATAGCTCAGCAGCTCGAGTCCTAACCAAGGACCTAGGAACTGTTAAGGTATCGTCGGAGGATGTAAGCTGTTCCGAGTAAGGTGTTTTTTTGTAGAGTCAAAATGTTCAAATCTGGCAAATTTAGAATTTCTAAATAGCGAGGTAGCCCTTTGGGTATTGCTCCAAGGGCTCCAATTACAATCGGGACAACACACGATTTCTTTTTCCACAGTCGCTCAACTTCAATTTGCAAGTCCTGGTACTTTGTGATTTTTTCTTTCCTCCTCCTCTTCTTCTTCTTCTTCTTCCTCCTCCTCCTCCTCTTCCTCCTCCTCCTCCTCCTCCCAAATAGGTAACACCATCAGCTAAAAAGGAAGGGGATTCACTGATGATGTCAGTGTTGGGTAAGGCAGCATCTGCTAGAAAGTAACTGAGCTCAGAGACCCCTCACTTGGTCAGGAGGAACCTGCTTCCAAGTAAACATGTAGGATCTTGCAAAAGGAAAGATCTGCCCCCACCCCCCCGCATATCTCAAAACCAGCACCAGTTTTTCAGGTTTTGAGCTGAGCTCTGCCGATGAGTCAGAACAGAACAGAATTGCAGAGTCGGAAGGGACCTTGGAGGTCATCTAGTCCAACCCCCACCCCGCCAAGCAGGAGCCCGTACACTATTTTTGACAGAGGGCAGTCCAGCCTCTTCTTGAAAGCCTCCAGTGATGAAGCTCCCACAAATTCTGAATAACAATAATAACAGCATAACATAGTCGGAAGGGACCTTGGAGGTCATCTAGTCCAGCCCCCCACCCACCCAAGCAATCCAATCTCTTTAAAGCTTCCAGTGATGCAGCATCCACAACTTTTTTTTAAAAAAAGTTAATTTTATTAAATATGCAATTTAAAAACATTAGATTTGGTGCGACTTGTCTGGTACATACTTTTCTAACACTTTTTCTTTTGTGAATATTACAATATAATATCATGCATATTCCATATATACTTTTTGTACATTCAATCACACTTCAGTTACATACATATTCCCTTCATATCTATTCAAATCCAATTGATTCCTATCTTAATATTTCTTAATTTAATTTAATTTATTTTTCTCCCCTTTTCTTCACTCTTGTTTCTAATTCGCCATCCCTACATTCTTCCTTTTCTCTAGCCATTTATAAAATGCATTCCAGGTTACGTAGAATTCCGATTCATCTTTATCTTTGAGATGTTAAGGAATATGCGCAGAGTAACCCTTGAGTAGCAAGGTTGTGCACATGAGAAAACGGCGGAGAGTGATTGTGAGTAAGCACTGTCAATACACAGACACACTGAGTTGTGATATTCTTTTACTTTTAGGAAAAAGCAAAGCAAAGTCCAATAAACAATCCAGGTCATACACAGATAAAGATAGCTAAATTGTCAATCCAGGGATATTCCAAGAACAAAGTCTTCTTACCAGTTGTTGTAGTCATATGCAATAAAACAGTTCTTTTTGGAGTTGCAAACAGGAAAAAGTACAGCAGTAAAACAATCAGTAAAACAGTAGAAAACAACAAGTAGCAATGATCAATCAGTGACCATGCAGAGAGAACAGGCAGATAGGAGCAGAGGTAGCAATAATAATGTAATAAGAAAAATAAGCCATGATTCAAGCTTCCACTTAAATACATTGGCTACAGAGCTAGCCAATCAGAATACAGTATGATGCAATACAGCATGACAGCCTTAAAGCTATACATTACATTTTGACTGCAAACATGCATTGATGGTTTATATATATATGGCCAACCCAACCAGTTAGGCAATAGCCAAATGAGGACCCAGTTTGTGGGGGCAATAAGCTGACTTTGTATAAATATACAAAAGTATGAAGGCTATTGCTTAACGCACTGTAAGCCGCCCTGAGTCTCCGGAGAAGGGCAGCATATAAATCAAATTTAAAAAAAAAAAAAAAATAGCCATTCCCTAACAAGCTCCATTGTTAACCTGTCCATTTCTGCACAGGTCAATATTTTGTTCATTATTTCTACCTCCTGTGGGTTCTCTCTGCATTGATATTTGCACAAAATTTACGCACCTTCCGCCGTGCCCTCGAGACCTTTTTATTTCAACAGGCTAGCCTGGCCTAACTTCCCTTTTAATTGTAAATTGTAAATTTGTTTTAAAACATTAGGGGAGTTTTAATTTGTTTTGGGCCAAATTATTTAATGGGTTTTTTATATTGTCTTTTAAATTTTGTAGTTTGTGTGCTTTATCTTTTTGGCTGTTCACGGCCCTGAGTCCTTCGGGAGTAGGGCGGTATGTAAATCCAAAAATAAAATAAAATAAATAAAAATAAAATTGGAAATGCGGAGCATCTACAATTTCTGAAGTCCCTGTGGATGTCCTGTTTTCCAGGCAAGAAGGCTTGATTTGTTGCCTTCCCCTCGGAATTTCCTCCCCCACCCCTTTCCCTGTCCAATCCAGAGCTCTAATTCATCCTGGGGAACCAAACTAACCAAGATTAACTTGGTTTTTAGAGAGCAAGAGGAGCACTGATTAAAACGGGCTGTCCCATTTCAGGCGGCGGGGGCGGGACGAAGAGAAGAGAGAGGAGCATCCCCGCAAGGTGAAACCAGGGGGAGAAATGGTTACGCCCGAACAGGAAATGACGTAGGAGAAAAAAAAACACGCTTTCTCCCTCTTATCGTTGTTGTATTGCCCTTCAAGGCGGACCATAGAGACGAAGAAGACAGAGCGGCACGGGTTTCTTTTTCTTTCTCGCCCCCCCCAACATCCGGTTTCCGAGACTCCGCCTTCCCAAAATGGCGGCACCTCATCTGTGGAGAACCGGCCGGGCGAAGAGTCACCCATGAGGCGATTTCCTCGCCGGCCTCCTTCTCCTTTCGCCCTTAGGCCGAGCGCGGGAGGAGGATGCTGCCGGCTCTGGCCGCTCAGCGGAAGGGATGGCGGTGCTTTTACCAGCTGCGGCTGCTGCTGCGGCGGCGGGGAGGCCTTTGCCCGCCGGTCTGTCCCGGTGAGTGTGGCCGGCGGGGGGTTTCTTGACCTCTGAGGGGGCCTGAAAGGAGCTACAAGGGCCCCTCTTGGCCCTTCCAGGGAGGGAGGGGCGGCTTTTGGGGGGAGAGGAGGGTATTAAAAAACGGCAGTCCTCGATCTATGACCATAATGGAGCCCCCACCATTTACGTCGCTAAGCGAGACGCGGGTTTAAAAAGTCTTTTGGCAAGAGGCTTTTTCTGGCATTGGGAGTCACGATTAGCAGTTTTCCCCTCAGAAACTCAGTCTAAACCCATCAAGTTGCTGTGCCTCAGGTAGTCCTCGATTTACGACCATAATGGAGCCCCCACCATTTGCGTCGCTAAGGGAGACGCGGGTTTAAAAAGTCTTTTGGCAAGAGGCTTTCTGGCATTGGGAGTTCACGATTAGCAGGTTTTCCCCTCAGCAACTCAAGTCTAAACCCATCAAGTTTTTGGTGCCCGCCATGTAGTCCTCGACTTACGACCGTTCGTTTAGTGACCGTTCCAAGTCACGGCGGCACTGTGGGGGGGGGAGAGAAGAGTGACTCGGGACCGTTTTATATACCCAACTTGTTGCGGCATCCCCTGTGGTTGAAATGCAGCGGGGCTTGGTGGCTGACTCACATTTATGACGACGGTCGCAGCTTCCCGGGATCCTTTTGCGACCTTCCAACAAGCAAAGTCAGTGGGGGGGAAGCCAGAGTCGCTTAACCACCTGGGTGACTTTAACGTCTCAACTGCGGCGGTTCACTGAACAACCCGGTCAGGAAAGGTCGTAAAACGGGGCAAAACAGACTTAACCAATGTTTCACTGAAGAAGAGAAATGTTGGGGGGCCGTGTGTTCGTAAGTCGAGGACCACATGTATTTTGTGTGATGGTTTTGAATAGCGGAGGTGACATGTGACTGTCTTGACCAAGGATCTTTAAAACACTCAAAAGAGCCATTTGGACTCGTTTCCCACAGAAAAGAAAACACCGGGAGCCACAAAACCCTTCCCGTGCCTGACTATTTCTTGAGCAGCCACAAAAAACTAGCATATGTAGTTGAATTAAACTTTGTTTTCTTCTGAAACTTTTCTTTTCTTGGATTTATTCATGGTTGGCCTACCAGGGGTTGAAAAGCTCAATAAATCGCCTGCCAGTGAGTGTTGCACATTGGCAGTTGGGATGCATATTTTTGAGTGACAGGGAACCACAGCAGAGGGGTGAAAGAGCCACATGTGGCTCCAGAGCCGCAGGTTTGACCCCTGGTGTTGACAGTATGTCCGCCTTTAGAATTAATCAGGATTTTGATCAACGGTTGACCCGTGGGTCTGATTCCTATCCTATGCTTTTTATTTATTTATTTATTTGTGTTTTTGACTTACCCACCTCACCCCAGAGAGGACTCTGGGCAGTGTAGAATAAAATATTAAATATGAAAATATAAATGCAATACATAAGCATTCAACATTTCAAAAGAAGTAAGGGGTAATTAGACACTCTTAAAATGAATTGAAAGACGAAGGGAGGGGAGCACCAGCCAGCCCCATGGTTGCATGCTTCTCTGGGCTCTCCACATGGGACTGCAAAGAGCCTTGGTAGTACAGTGGTCTAAAGCACCCTGTTATTAAGACCAGCTGCCTGCAATTACTGCAGGTTCAAATCTCGCCAGGCTCAAGGTTGACTCAGCCTTCCATCCTTTCTAAGGTAGGTAAATTGAGGACCCAGTTTGTGGGGGCAATAAGCTGACTTTGTATAAATATACAAAAGGATGAAGGCTATTGCTTAACGCCTTGTAAGCTGCCCTGAGTCTCCGGAGAAGGGGCGGCATATAAATCAAATTAAAAAAAAGAAAAAGCTATGGTTTAATATGTTGACAAGACCCACCGCTCCAGAGCTTTGGGAGCAGAGGTGTAATTGCTTGCAAGATTGTTCTGCTTTGTTAGCATTCATTCTGTAGAAGCCTAAATGTACCACTTGGTATCCATTCCAATGTTACTTCTGCGTTGAGAATATGATTTTTTTTTTAAAAAATCAGGGCTGTCCAACTTCGGCAGCTTCAAGACTTGGGGATTTCAACGCCCAGAATTCCCCAGCCAGGCTGCTAGGGAATTCTGGGAATTGAAGTCCACTAGTCTTGAAGTTGCCACAGTTGAACACCCCTGTTCTAGACTGAGTAGACCCCTGAACCAGCAATGACTGGCTTTTTATGTGTTAAGTGAAAATCAAACCTAATATTGCATGGGAACCCGACTATTAGCTGCATGCATAGATTTATTTTTGCTTGTAAATATATCAAGTTCAGATCATTTTGTGTAATGTCAGTACACAAAATGAAAGGGGGGGGAAGGCTCACTCTGTTTAAATACTTCTCTGTCTCGTTGTAAGATACATCTTGTCTTATTTATTGTTTTGCAAATCTTTCTCTGCAGCCTTAAACTATTCTATTTAAAACAGAAGCTATAACTTTACTGCATCCCGTTAGCGAGCATAATAAATTGTTCCCGATGAGTGGAATTTGGGGAACGTGAAGTAAATAAACTTAGTATTGGAGAAATATTTTAATTTGCCATAAAACGGTTCGGCAATACTAACATTTATTGTTTCGTAATCACGTGTGAGATCCAAAAGTACATTATCTGGTACTTCTTGGCTTTTTAAAAAATTTCCTTTGCACGGGACTGCTATTTTCTTTCCGCTGTATCAGGTTTAGTGATAACCAGTGTTCCATTTGGGAAAAGTTCCGTCTCATTTGAATATCCTTTTCCCTCCGCCAGCCTTGATCTGTTCTCTGCAACCTTCCTATTGTCCTTTGGTAAACCCATCTAGTAAACATTTCAATAATCATAACAGTTTGATGTCTTCTCACCTGGTTTTTAGTATTGACCAAAGGTGTTCTTCTGCCTTCTAAAACTATCATCTACTTTCATGTTTCCATCAGGCTGGCAAGTTCCCATTAAACCTGGGAGACTCCTGGCCATTCTGCCAGGTAGGTCTCTCCCTCATCCCGCCAGTCAAGTCAGAGCTTATTCCTCCAACGATCAGAAGAACAGCACAAGAACTCCAGATGCCAGTTCTTCAGGCTCAGAAGGCAGTGCGCAGAAAACAGCGTCCGGTAGGTTCATCCCGTTCACAACCTGCGTTGAAGGGGTCAGCGTAGCTGCTCCTCTTCGCTCCAGAGATTTCTTCGATAGCGACGCTGTAATGAAGTGATTAGAATTAACCAGGTTTAAACCCAGAGATTTCTCTTTGTCGCGACTTTGAATCGTCTGACAACGATGGCAGAAGGCACCGCTGATTCAGGATGTTTTCTCTCTCAGCGATCCTGCTTCCCCTAAAAGTTATCCACCGCTTTTGATTTGCCTGTCATATTTCAATACTTTGAAATACAGGCAAGCCTCGACTTATGACCACAATTCAGCCCAAAATGTCTGTTGCTAAGCGAGACGTTTGCTAAGTGAATTTTGCCCCATTTTACAACTTTTCTTGCAGCGGTTGTTAAGTGAGTCGCCACGGTCATTAACTTAGTAACCTGGTTGTTAAGTGAATCTGGCTTCTCCGTTGATTTTGCTTATCAGAGTGTCATGCAAGGGGAATGCATGACTCCGGACACTACAGCCGTCATAAATATGAACCAGTGGTCAAGCTGTAAATCACGTGACTGTCGGGATGCTGCAACGGTGATAAGTGTGAAAAGCGGTCATAACTCACTTTATTCAGTGCCGTTGTAACTTGGAACAGTCACTGAATGAACTGTTGTAAGTCGAGGACTACAATATACAATAGGACTACAATATAGAGGACTACAATATACAATATATTTTGGACTTCACTCCCTGAAATCGTCCATCCTTTAATTAAATAAGTGAGGCTTGCTTTCTTTTGAGCAGTATGTTTTTGTTAAACCTTTGAGATTCAGGTAGAGAGAAGATGCGTAACATTACTTGAATAACCAATAATCCGTTAAGATTAACTTGTTACGTGACTCTTTTTCCTGATCAGAGTTTACACGTTAATTTTTCAAACCCCCCCCCTGTTTGCTTTACAGGGGGGAAAATACTACTGGGAAGTGTGAAAGGAATTGAATTTGGCTTCTAGCTCTGACTTCCCCATTGCAAACATGCGACTGTAATTTTAATGCTGCAAAGATAAGAACGGAAAACAACTTTTAGCCATCTTCTAGCTTTTTAAAAAATACTAGTTCTATTGGGAACCAACACTATTTTCAAGGATGCTCAACAAGTTTCTACTGTGTATTGGAACAAATAAAAACCTGTACGTCTATTCTGTTTATCTTATTTAATGGGAAAGATTATTCTGATTTTGTTGCCTTGTCCACCCTATTTTCTCCAAGTTCAAGGAGAAATTCTTGTCTTAAAATCAGGTTGTTGTGTGTTTTTTTTTAACTAATTCATGCCATGAGTCAAGCATGCTTGTTATTAACAGAAGAGACTCTCTTGCCAAGATCTTCCATTCAGAAGACAAATTCTAATGTCTTTAATTTAGTGGAATTAATTTCAATTTACCGGTAGCGGATATACGGCATCTGTCCAATTCCAGGGAATAAAGCAACAGTATAGTAACTTTTTTACTGAGGTCATAACTCAATACAGTATTGTTGAGGCTGCTAATTAAAGATGTATGATCATGTATCATTCTGTGATACATTTTACTCTTAGTGAAATCAGTGGTATTGTAGAATGCAAAAGAATATTTCAGAGCTAAAAAAAAATCTCATTTCCTTTCTTTCTGACACTAAGACAAAATATCACAATCTATCCACAAGACAGGTGTTTCTTTCGTTGTGTCCTTACAATATAAAGGAACTTTTTGGTGGGAAGTGAACCAGTTAAAATTTGAATTGCGTAATAGCGAGGCCCAGGAGGGAAAGAAATCATTGGAAGATTTGTGTAGAAAATTTGAAATTGCTTTCTTCCAATGTACATGTTGTGGTCTCCCAGCAGCCTGCGGAGCTGGCAGCGGAGTCAGACAGTGAGGAGGCTGGGGAGGAACATGGGCCAGCCCTGGAGTCTGGGGAAGGCTCGGACGAGGGCTCTGCATCTGAGGCAGAGATGGAGCCAGGGCCATCTGGGAGTTTTGCACAGACTCCGGAGCCTCCAGAGTCCGATATCAGAGAGACAGAGGAACAGGAGGAGCCTGTTCCTAGTGTGCACATGCGCAGAGCTGCCAGAAGGCAAGGACAGTTCAAACAAAAGGGACAACTCGGGAGTGAGGCCTGGAGATGATTGGCCCCTCCCATAAGGTTTAAAAGAGGAGCAAAGGAACGTGGGCCCTTTGCAGGAAAACAACATTGTTAATTCTGTTTCCAGTCAGCATCTCTGTTTGATTCTGGACTCTGTGTGGCTTTGCCAAGTAGGTCTTTGGCAGAGTGTCAAGGGAGATAAAGGTTGGTGATTATCCCGAAGGACTTCTCCCAAAGGACTTTTTGCAACTAATTGGAACTCAGCTGTGAATGAACGTATTCACAGCTGTTGCAATAAAATAGGTTTTTGGGACTACTTGTGTGTTTTAATGATTCAGGAACAACAGTCCGTTCCATTTGCCAAATAATGCTGTCCCAATATCTTAATGTTTTTTTCTTACGACGCAAACACAGCAATACAACTATGTCTTTTATTTTTCCAGCCCGAGACACTATCAATCAGATTCCTTTCCCACAGCAACCAATTCAAGTAAAAGGTAATTGATGTCCTTCTGTGGGCATGCATAGAAGTTTAAGATGGTCTTAGAATCCCTTTTTGATAAAACTACCAAAGATGATAATCTGTATTTACCCACAAGGGCCTTCAGTCTCCGAATTCAATTTAATTCTTAAATAAATCCATTCTTGATTGGTAATAAACGCTCATTCTCACTTCTCTACTGACTGAGAAACTGCTTTTGATTTGTCATTCACTTTTCAAGTTTTACAACCAGATCACATCTAATCTCTCTGACAAGTTAGAATAAATGTTGGTGGCTTTAATCCAGTAGGTGAAAATGTGTTACATTAGTACAAGGAGTCCTTGACCTGCGACCATAATTGAGCCCAAAATTTCTTCTGCTAAGTGAAACATTTGTTAAGTGAGTTTTGCCCCATTTTATGACTTTTCTCAAGACATTTGTTAAGTGAATCACTGCAGTTCTTAAATTAGTAACATGGTTATTAAGTGAATCTGGTTTACCCATTGAATTTGCTTGTCAGGTCACAAAGGGGGATCATGTGATTCCGGGGCATTGCAGTCGTCATAAATGTGAATCAGTTGTCAAGCATCTGAATGTAAATCCCATGATCATAGAGATGCCGCAACGATCCTAAGTATGAACAATGATCATAAATCATTTTTTTCAGTACCATTGTAACTTCGAACAGTCACTAAACAAACTCTTGTAAGTCGACTTCCGACTTATATCTTCCAAGCTCCAGAAACCCTCCGAGTGTAATGCTTTCCCCCTTCTCTTTTCAAGTGAAAGCTGTGCTTAAAAAAAGAGAATATGGACCAAAGTACACAAAGAATAACTTCATCACTGGCGTGAGAGCAATCAGTGAATTTTGCCTTAAGTCCAGGTACGTTCATCTCTCAGATTTTAAATTTGAACGACATGCCGCTCCCATATGACACCTCTCCTGCGCGAGCTGCACTGGCTTCCTGTGGTCTTCCAGGTGCACTTCAAGGTGTTGGTGACCACCTTTAAAGCGCTCCATGGCTTAGGGCCAGGGTATCTGCGAGACCGCCTTCTGCCGGCAATAGCCTCCCACCGACCGGTTTGCTCGCACAGAGAGGGCCTCCTCAGGGTGCCGTCAGCCAGACAGTGCCAGCTGGCGACCCCCAGGGGGAGAGCCTTCTCTGTGGCAGCCCCTGCCCTCTGGAATGATCTGCCCCCTGAGATACGCACGATATCAGACCTCCGGACTTTTCGTTGGGCCCTGAAAACAAACTTATTCCATCTAGCTGGCCTGGCTTGATCCCATCCTCTCAGTTTTAATTGAATTCGGTTTTAATTGGGTTGTTTTAAACCTTGGGCTGAAATTATTTAATTGTTTTTTAAACTGTTTTTAAATTTTATATGCAATGTTTTATCTTGGCTGTACACCGCCCTGAGTCCCGCAGGAGAAGGGCGGTATAGAAATAAAATAAAATAAAATAAATAAATAAATGGTGTTTTTCAAAGTTACTACAACTTTACAAGTACGAGTGAGTGGTGAAAATTGCTACCAACAAGAGGCACCAAATTCTGCAGTACCTTGGTACTCAACTGCTTCGAAATTCATCGAATTTGGTACTCAGTGCATTTTTACATGAACTTTTTGTCCCCGTACTCATTGTTTATTTGGTACTTAGAGCCTTGGTGGCGCAGTGGTTAGAGTGCAGTACTGCAGGCTACTTCTGCTGACTACCGGCTGCCTGCAATTTGGCAGTTCAAATATCACCAGGCTCAATGTTGACTCAGACCTTATAATCTTTGCTTTTCTTCTTCTTCTTTTTTTTTTCCTGTCTCCTTCAACAGTGATCTTGACCAACTTAGGAAAATCAAACGACGAAGCCCACATGACGATACCGAAGCTTTCACTGTGTTTTTGAGATCAGAAGTGGAAGCTAAGTAAGAGCATCTTTGAAAAGGTTATCTTAAGTAGAGATTTTACTTTCTAACGCTTTCCTGTCAAGTTCACACAATTTGCTCATTAGCTGGTAAACCGTGTTAACTTAAGTCATTTTTGACTCTCATTTAGTTGTGGTTTCTTCAGGCAATAAAACCAGAGTTCAGAATGTTGACTGATTTTTTTTTTCATTGGTGCCTTAGGGGGAATGGAGAATGCTTAATTTGTGTTTTCCAGGGTGGATTTAAATCACTAGTAAAAAGGCTTGATTTAAATCAACTCGATTTCAGTCATAATTTTTAAAGAGCACGTGTCATCTCTGTCCCACAGCAGCTTCTCCTCTGACCCACTATTGACTCACCGACAGTCCCATTCATTTTAATGGGACGGCTGGTGATGCAGCAGTGACACCACAAGGTGAGAGACGTAGTGGGCAGCAAATGAGTGGATGCCCTCTAACAGGCACTGCCAGGATGGATCTGAAATGACAGGTGCTCTTTAATATTATATGTATAAGCTGCTTAGAAGGTTTCACTTTCATTTTTACTGCTTCCCCTTCCTCCTCACACTTAAGAGTGGTACAGATGCATTTCTCTTCAAACAGTCAGTTTGTAGTGTACATAGATTTGCAAAACAATGGGATAAAGGAATATTCCTGAACTTTGTTTTATGATTTATCTCATGGTTAACGGCGAAATTGTGTGAATGCATCAATGCAGCGCATGCTATCACAGCTTGCAGAGCTTGGATTCGTTGAATGGATTTACCAAAAATGTAAATATTGCAGGATATACAGCCTCATGCTACATAACTAGGCTCCATTTCATGCTGAATAAACTAAATTATTAATGTATCTTAAATAGAAACCCTTTATCTTTACTCCAAAAGCATTTTATTAAAATAAATTTGATAAAAATAAAAAAAAATCTGATTTAATTTTTTTAAAAAAATCCATTTAAAAAAAAAAAGGCATCAGTCTTTATCCATCCTGGTGTTTTCCCAACCATCTAACCAATCATCAGATTAGACAAGAATCTTAAAAAATAGTAGGGAATAAAAGCATTGCCAAAGCATTTTGACTAAACCACATAAACAACGCTTTTCGTATTTCTCTTTTTTTCAACATGGCGCACTTAAGAGACAGCAGAGCTCATGTTGTGACACAGCAAATTGTGCATCTCTTGTTGATTCTTGCTGTGTTAATGAAGCTATCCAAGGGGAAATAATGAAGGTTGAATTGTGTTAAATCTGCTGTGATCCAGATAAATTGCAATAAGAGCACCCAACTTACCATTCAAGTCATCCAGGTAGCAGCATGTTGGGAGGACGCCTGCTTGAATCCTAATGACAGCTTGATTCAGGAAGAGTTAAACACTTCTTTCAAAATTAGCAGGCTCCTCCCCCTTCTTCCCTTCCCTTAGCTTGGTTAACATCCTGTTAGACCATAGACCAGAAAACATAGTTTGTTCCATGCAACTGGGTTATCATGGATATGCTGGATGACTGTTCTTGTGCCATCTTCACTTGGACAATAAACCACAAACACAGCTGTCTGAATATGGTACTGTGTATTCACACCAACTCTCAGTATTCTGGGCCCATAACCAATGTTGAGGAATATGCGCAGAGTAACCCTTGAGTAGCAAGGGTATGCACATGAGAAATGGCTGAGAGTGATTGTGAATAAGCACTCTCAATACACAGACACACTGAATTGTGATATTCTTTTACTTTTAGGAAAAAAGTAAAGCAAAGTCCAATAAACAATCCAGGTCATACACAGATAACAATAGTTAATTTGTCAATCCAGGGATATTCCAAGAACAAAGTCTTCTTACCAGTTGTTGTAGTCATATGCAATAAAACAGTTCTTTTTGGAGTTGCAAACAGGAACAAGTACAGCAGTAAAACAATCAGTAAAACAGTAGAAAACAACAAGTAGCAATGATCAAGCAGTGATCATGCAGAGAGAACAGGCAGAGAGGAGCAGAGGTAGCAATAATAATGTAATAAGAAAAATAAGCCATGATTCAAGCTTCCTCTTAAGTACATTGGCCACAGGGCCAGCCAATCAGAATACAGTATGATGCAATACAGCATTATAGTCTTAAAGCTATACAATACATTTTGACTGCAAACATGCATTGATGGTTTATATATATTGCCAACCCAACCAGTTAGGCAATAGCCATTCCCTAACACATCCTATTTTGTTAGCTCAGGTAAATGTCTTACTTCTTACATCCATGTATTTCACCTTCCAGAGAGCACGTCACAGATTCCCCCTTTTTTTCATTAGTCAAAAGTGTTGGCAAGTCAGATCTGTCTCTTTTTCCCCACTTCGTAAAAACAGGTCTATAGAAGTCTGGGGAAGCCCCGAAGCTCTTGCTCGAGAGAGAAAAAGGCGCATAGAAGCCGAAAGGGAATACATGGAAAGTAAGTGTAAAACACACTTCCGGAAGCGCTTCATGGTTTTGATTGCAAGGGACATCCAGTGGTGTTATTTAATTAACTTGCGTTTTTCTGTGTGTGGCTCCTAAGATCTTCTGGAAGTAGATTTAATTAGAAGCAGGGGAGGCTGGGTTGATGAGTGGTGCGGTGGCCTAGAGGTGGAGCCTCTCGCCTTACAATCAGGAGGCTGTGAGTTCAATCCTAGGTAGAGGCAGATATTTCTCTCTCGGCACAATGAGAATATATCTACCGAATCAAACTCTGCATTGGCGACAGGAAAGGCATCCAGCCAGTAAACACTCAGCTCCATTCAGTTGCTCAGACTCCATCCTCCCCCCCTCGGCAAGGGATTATGGGGTCGTTAAAAGGATGATGATGATGAGGGGAGGCTGGGTTGAATTGGGTTTGAGATATTCGGTCATTATGAGTGTTCTGAATTTGTATTTCACTTCATTGACTACAAGCCTCTTAGAATCGTTTGATGTTCCTCGACTTACGACCACAATTGATCCCAAAATTTTGATTGCTAAGTGAGACATGCGTTAAGTGAGTTTTGACCCATATTACGACCTTTCTGGCCACAATTGTTAACTGAATTATTAAGTTAGCGGCAGGGTTGTTAAGTGAAACTGGCTTCCCCGTTGACTTTGCTTGTCAGAAGGTCGCAAAATGGGATCACGTAATCATGGAATGCTGCGACCATCATAAATATATAATTCAGTTGCCAAGCTTCTGAATTTTGATCCCGTGACCATGGGGATGCTGCAAAGGTCGTAAGTGTGAAAAACGGTCAGAAGTCCCTTTTTTCAGTGCCGTTGTAACTTGGAAGGGTCAGTAAACAAACTATTGTTAAGCCGAGAACTACTTGTATAAATAATAGTTCCTTTTTATATTCTGCCCTGGTCTGGCTGCGTCTGAAGGATTGCAAACTATGCTATCCTGGGTCAAAAAGTTAAAAAGGGATTTTAAAGAAGAGGACAAGTAGCTGCAACTTAGGGGAGGAAAGCTTTAAGCAAATATGGATATTTAGCTGTATTAGGCAAGATTAAAATGAGTCATCATGACAACTGTCTTGCTATCAGGTATACTCTTATAAAGGGGATGCGGTGGCTCAGTGGATAAGATGCTGAGCTTGTCGATTGAAAGGTCAGCAGTTCAGCGGTTCGAATCCCTAGTGCCGCGTAATGGGGTGAGCTCCCGTTACTTGTCCCAGCTTCTGCCAACCTAGCAGTTCGAAAGCAGGTAAAAAATGCAAGTAGAAAAATAGGGACCACCTTTGGTGGGAAGGGAATAGCGTTCCGTGCGCCTTTGGCGTTGAGTCATGCCGGCCACATGACCACGGAGACGTCTTCGGACAGCCCTGGCTCTTCTGGCTTTGTAATGGAGATGAGCACCGCCCCCTAGAGTCTGGAACGATTAGCACATATGTGCCAGGGGAACCTTTACCTTTACCTTCTCCTCTTCTAATGATAAATCTAAAATTACATAGGTGTGAGTACAGGGATTTGATTACTGTAAACATTATAAGATTTGTAGAATTCTATTACAATAATTCTTGGCTCTTCTTTATTAAAGATATTTAAGCTTTAAATATCTTTAATAGGAGTCACTTTTCAGATCAGTAAATACTTTCCAGTTTTCTTGACCATAGCAGCAGTTGTTATTGCTCTCAGCATTGTTATTTCTTCCATCTTTCTCTGTTCTTTTTACAGAATTATTTAGAAGCCAGAAGTTGTTGAGAGAATACCGAACTTTCCAAGGAGAAACTAAGGTGAATTTTTAAAAAAAAAATTGGTTGTAAAAGCCTATTCATGGCCAGATTTTTAAAATGCAATTAGTGATGTAACTGTGTAACTGTCCTTTAATAATTTTTACTGTCTCTACTGGGTGTGAAATCTGTTTTCTCAATTTAAATGATCTCAATGGCTAAATGCAGGCCTGGCCTCTGAAGTGAAGGTTTGTTAACAAAGCTTGTGAAGGCAACCTTTGTAAAATTTGAGAGAAGACGGTGGCCACACCTGCCTACATGAGATCATTGTCTACATCAGGGTTCCCCAAACTTGGCAACTTAAAATAGGCAATATCCGAAATCATATTCGTAAAAGCATTGCATTGTTTGTGAAACACATACAGGGAAGCGTGTAGTTTGCCTTAAACTACATGCTTCTGTCTTTAATTTAGCCACGTTCCCGTGCATCAGCTATATTTCTGAGCGGTCCAGGAAAAGTGGTGATGGTCGCTATTTGCATGTAAGTTTTCTTTCTTTTTTTTCTTTTTCTTTACGTGTCCATGGCTCTTAAACATAGACGCTGCAAAGCTTAATCTGGGACAGCTCAATGCTGTTTTTATTATGTTGTCATATATTGGGTAATGCTGTATTGGAAATCAGAATTTTAGTTTAGAAAGGAAAGCTTAAAGGTTGGCTGAGTTGGAATATTAGACTAAAGAATGACAGTTGGAAGGGACCTTGGAGGTCTTCTAGTCCAACCCCCTGCTCAGGCAGGAAACCCTGAAAAAAAAATTTAGAAAAACCTGTCCAATCTCTTCTTAAAAACCTCCAGTGTTGGGGCACCCACAACTTCTGAATAAAACATTGCAACAATATATAGGCCAGGGTCTCCTGCTTGAGCAGAGGATTGGAACAGAAGACCTCCAAGGCCCCTTCCAGCTCTATCCTGATTAATTAAAATAATTTTTTCCCTGCAAATTATTGGACCATTTTTGCATTGCTTTCATGTTGTTATTTAAGGCAGTGCTTTCGGGATTTAGTCCAAACTAAATCTGCCTTATAAATAGAGCCTTGGTAGTACAGTGGTTTAAAGCACCCTGTTATTAACACAGCTGCCTGCAATTACTGCGGGTTTGAATCTCACCAGGCTCAAGGTTGACTCAGCCTTCCATCCTTTCTAAGGTAGGTTAAATGAGGACCCAGTTGTGGGGGCAATAAGCTGACTTTGTATAAAATATACAAAAGTATGAAGGCTATTGCTTAACGCATTGTAAGCCTCCCTGAGTCTCCGGAGAAGGGCGGCTTATAAATCAAATTAAAAAAAAAAAAATCAGAGAAATTTCCGGCGCAGATGGAGGCTTTCCAGTTTCTCAAAACAAGGCTTTTTGGAAAACAGGAACAATTGTTGGCTAGTATATTTTGTGTTCCCTTCTGACATGCACTTTTGTTCTTTCACAATGCTGCAGAGATTTTCTTTCTTTCTTTCTTTCTTTCTTTCTTTCTTTCTTTCTTTCTTTTCTTTCTTTCTTTCTTTCTTTCTTTCTTTCTTTCTTTCTTTCTTTCTTCCTTCCTTCCTTCCTTCCTTCCTTCCTTCCTTCCTTCCTTTCTTTCTTTCTTTCTTTCTTTCTTTCTTTCTTTCTTTTCTTCTAACCTAATTTTGGTACCCATCTACTGGTGATCTGGTTAAGGCTTCTTCTGCCGCCGATAGCCTCCCACCGACCAGTACGCTCCCACAGAGAGGGACTCCTCAGGGTGCCGTCAGCCAGGCAATGTCAGCTGGTGACCCCCAGGGGGAGGGCCTTCTCTGTGGCAGCTCCTGCCCTCTGGAACGATTTGCCCCTTGAGATACGAAGGATATCGGATCTCCGGGCCTTTCGCCGTGCCCTAAAAACTTTTCCATCAAGCAGGGCTGGCGTGTAAACCCCCCCCCCTTTTTTTAGTTTTTTTTTTTTTAGCTTTTTAAATAATTGTTAATGGGTTTTAGTTTTAATGTTTTAAATTTTGGGCCAAAGTCATATAATTCTTTTACAAAAATTTTAAATTTTGTATTGGTATGTGTTTTAGTTCTGGCTGTGCACCGCCCTGAGTCCACTTGGAGAAGGGCGGGATATAAATTGAATGAATGAATGAATGAATGAATGAATGAATGAATGAATGAATGAATGAATGAATGAATGAATGAATGAATGAATGAATGAATGAATGAATAAATAAATAAATAAATAAATAAGGCTGGTGGTGCAGACCACGGTGCCAAATATGGATAAACAAAGGAAAAACAAGGGGATTTGCACAGTAGTGGGAAGGTGGAAGCTGCCGTATATTTTGAATTTCTGTGGCTCACAGGCTTCCTCACATGCACTGGATCTCTAATCAACAGTTTGGTCATTCCCACACTTGTCCTGCTCATCCCCATATTCATGGCTTTGCGAATACCTTGGGTCGCTCGCCAATCTCATCATCCATTTGTCAATCCAAGCGTGGCATTGTGTATTTAAAGCTTTGCGGAGCCTCCAAAAGATTGTGAGTGTGTCATTACCTCCTTGTGACGATAGTTTCTCCTCCTCCTACAGAAACGGCTTGAATTTTTTCTTCAAGCTCCTTGCCTGGGTGTACACGGGTTCTGCCAGCATGTTCTCTGAAGCCATACATTCCTTAGCAGATACTTGCAATCAAGTAAGTTTGCAATTTTGTGCTTCTCAGGGAGTTCTATATATTTTCCCAATTCTTCCTTTACCTATATATTCTTCATTCACCTCACATTCGTTGATAATCATTTCAAATTTTGTTAACTGCCTGTCTTTCTCCTCGAATCTTTCTTCCCCTTTTATCCATTTCTGTAATTGTATTAAATTCAACCAGTTTAATCTAATATCTGCTACAAAGTTCTTTAGTTGTGTTACATTCTTTACCTTGTCCTTCCAGTCCTACCATTTATATATCTGATTTTCTTTTAGTTTACGAATCCATTCTTTCAATTCGATCTTAGGGAATTTCTCCATTTCCACCACTGGTGTTAACGCAGAAATTCCTGGCATTAGCCGGTATCTCCATTTTTTTTTTTTTAATTTGATTTATATGCCGCCCTTCTCCGGAGACTCAGGGCGGTTTACAGTGTGTTAAGCAATAGCCTTCATACTTTTGTACATTTTATACAAAGCCAGCTTATTGCCCCCACAAACTGGGTCCTCAATTTACCTACCTTAGAAAGGATGGAAGGCTGAGTCAATCTTGAGCCTGGGGACATTCGAACTTGCAATAATTGCAGACAGTTGAATGTTAATAACAGGCTTTTAGTCTGTTGAGCTATCCAGGCTCTTTTTTTTTTTAAATCCATAATTCTATCCAATTTTTAAATTTAATTTAAGGGATTTTGAATCCTCCTAGCAGTTGTTGATGCAATGCAGCGAGCGGTTAATTTGCCCAAACTTTTGGATTTCACAACACCACAGAACAGGATTATCTGCAGCTCAGGGTTGAACACGGGAGTTTATCTGAGCTTGGCGGGTTTTTCCCGCAGATGTTTCATTACCCCCCATTAAGGGACCATCACTATCATGACGATCAGGGTTTCTGGATTTTTTATTTCAACGCCAGCCGAGCTCGGCATGGCATGCCCTCCAATGCGAGAGGCAACGTTGTACGTCGATGAACACGCAGGGGTCATTTTCAAGGATCCGCCAAAGATAAAATTGCATCTTTTGACCGCAGCTCTATTTTGTCTCCCACGATACACAGGTGGTCCACGACTTACAACAGCCCCATTTAGTGACCGTTCAAAGTTACAATGGCACTGAAAAAAAAAGACTTATGGACATTTTTCACACTTACGACCGTCGCAGCATCCCCGTGGTCATGTGATTAAAATTCAGATGCTTGGCAAATGACTCCATTGTAGCCATTGTTTTTTCTGCAGTTCTAATTATCCTCTGAAGTCAAGCGTCTGAATTCTGATCACATGATCATTGGGATGCTGCAAAAGTGGTAACTCTGAAAAATGGCCATAAGTCACTTTTTTCAGTCCCGTTGTAACTTTTGAACGGTGACTAAATGAACTGTTGTAAGTCAAGGATTACCTTTACCTAAATTATTAAAGTTACTAAAGCATTTCCACGATTGTAAAAAATTGATAAGACTTTAAAATGCAGTTGCTTTACTCCAGTGAAACCTTCTAAAATTAAACATCAAACGGTCCCGTTTTTGTGGGCGGCGAACTGAAATTCAAGGTGCTGAATAATGTGGGGGTCTCTGCCCCATTTTCTTTTCACACACAGGCCTTGCTCGCGTTGGGGATCAGCCAGTCGGTGAGGATACCTGATCAAAGCCATCCGTAAGGATTCTGAACCCTTTTCTTTTTCCTCTTGTTCTGAAATTTTCTGTTTCGTTCGGAAAAAACAAAACAAAACACAATTTCCCTGATCTGTCTTCTGTTTCGGACATTTTTAGCCGAAGCTCAGATTCAATGAAATAACTTAAAAGTTTGGGAAAATAAAGTCGACAGTTCTTGGTGCTTTAAGACAATCTCTGGCAGAATTCCTCATTCTTGACAGCTTTAAAGCCACATGTCTTAAAGCTGTCAGAAGTTGAGAAACATGGATATGTGGCAGACATCCAGTTCTCCTTATGATTGTTCTCCCTACAATCATAGTTACTTTTTAAAATATCTGTGGAGATTCTCAGTCATCCGGGTCATAGCTGTCTCAAAGGTGCTTTTTGCAAAAGGCAAAGGGCTTGGAGTGCAAAAATGGGTCGTGCGGAGCACTTGCAGAGTGCTTCTGGGGGCCTGTGAGGGCGAAAATGTGACGTGCGGAGGGTTCGAGAGGCCAAAAACACTTGTATTCAGTCTATAAGACACACCTAAATTTTCACCCACTTTTGGGGGGGGGGGGGGGAGGTGCATCTTATACTCCGAAAAATACAGTATTGCATTTCCTGAATCCGGATTTGCTTCGAAGGTCTGTCTGTCCCTCGTTTGCTCCGAATGGATTGCAAAATGTGATCTCAATTGTGCTGCTTTCTGCTCTCTGACATTGTTGTGGCCCGTCAGCAGCCTGTGCAGCTAGTAGCTGGTTCTGACAGCGAGGAGGCTGGTGTGGTGCTGCGCCAGCAGCCTGTGCAGCTGGCACTCAAGTCGGACAGTAAGGAGGCTGGAGAAGATGTGGTGCCAGAGGCAGGGATTCAACCAGGGCCTTCAGAAGCTCCAGAAGCTCCTTTAAGTGAAGAGGACGAAGAGGAGGAGCCTCTTCTCAATGCACAGGCGCGCAGAGCTGCCAAAAGGCAGGAGTGGCTCCTCAGGAGGAGGTCTCCTCGAGAGTCAGGCTTGGGGCTAATTGGCCACTCCCTTAGCCTATTCAAGGAGGAACGCCGACTGAAGCAATTTGCAGAGAACAACTTCGTTCACTCTCCTTCGCGTCTTGATCTTAGTTCTCTGCAAATTGCTTCTGGGCTTTCTGCCAACCATAATAAGATTATGATGATTTATTCTTTGGATTCTTGCAGGCTGTTAAGCAAGTTAATTAACAGCCTTTGTTTGAAAAAGACTGATTGAATTTAGTAAACTAAGGTTTGTACAGACTTTGTGTGTGCCGCGTTCCTTGGGGTCCGTAGCTGGGGCAGAACAGACATCTCTGTTTTTCCTTCCTTAGTCACATCGATGTTTCCCCCCCCCCCCCTTTTCTCCTTCCCTTCCAGGTATGGCTTCACAAACATGCGCTACATCGCATCCCTGATTAGCGGCGTTGGCATTTTCATGATGGGGGCCGGTCTCTCGTGGTATCACGGGATTATAGGGTTACTCAATCCTCAGCCGATGGAATCCCTCCTTTGGGTACGTTTTGTGTTGAAATATTGTTTTGGCTGGATGTCGTGCGTGTGATAGCCATGAAATCCCCCCTTCCCCTTTTAAATATCAAGACAACAACGAGTCAAGGAAGTTGCTGAGATGAGACTCTCTATGGAGCAACAGATAGCCCTCGACTTATGACCACAATTGGGCTCAAAATTTCTGTGGCTAAGGGAGACAGTTGTTAAGTGAATGCTGCCCTCGGTTATGACCTTTCTGGACATGATTGTCTGACTTCTCCGCTGACTTTTTTTTTTTTTAATTTGATTTATATGCCGCCCTTCTCCGGAGACTCAGGGCGGCTTACAATGGTGCTCAGCAATAGCCTTCATCCTTTTGTATATTTATACAAAGTCAGCTTATTGCCCCCACAAACTGGGTCCTCATTTCACCTACCTTAGAAAGGATGGAAGGCTGAGTCAACCTTGAGCCTGGTGAGATTCGAACTTACAGTAATTGCAGACAGCTGGTCTTAATAACAGGGTGCTTTTGACCACTGTACTACCAAGGCTCAAGACTTTGTTTGTCAGAAGGCCACAAAAGGGGATCCCATGGGCCCCGGGACACTACAACCGTCATAAATATGAGTCGGTTACCAAGCATCTCAGTTTTGATCATGTGACCAAGGGGACCGCGTGAAGAACCGTCCTCTTTTTTTCAGTGCCGTTGTAACTTCAAATGGTCACTAAATGAACTGTTGTAAGTCAAGGACTGCCTTTATTTCTCTGTGGATGAATGTTCAGCAGTTATACATCATTTCGTCTCTCACACACACATATACATTAATTTTGGGGGCGATGGATGGATGGATAGATAAGATTTATCGATCGATCAACAGATAAAATAGATAATAGATAGACAGACTAGCTATAGATATAGAGATATAGAGAGAGATAGGATAGATAGATAGATAGATAGATAGATAGATAGATATAGATAGATAGATAGATAGATAGATAGATAGATAGATAGATAGATAGATAGATAGATAGCAGCATGGAAGCTTCTGGCCTAATACAGACAGACAGACAGACTAGAAATATAGAGACAGAGAGATAGATAGATAGATAGATAGATAGATAGATAGATAGATAGATAGATAGATAGATAGATAGATAGACAGACAGACAGACAGACAGACAGACAGACTAGAGATATAAAGACAGACAGATAGATAGACAGATTAAAGATATAGATAGGTGATAGATAGATAGAGAGATAGATAGATAGAAGATAGATAGATAGATAGATAGATAGATAGATAGATGATAGATAGATGATAGATAGAGACAGACAGGCAGACAGACAGACAAGAGATATAGAGACAGACATAGATAGACAGATTAAAGATATAGATAGGTGAGAGAGAGAGAGGGGAGAGAGAGAGAAGAGAGAGAGAGAGAGATGACAGCATGGAAGCTTCCGGCCTAATACAGACAGGCAAACAGACAAATGAACAAACACATATTTCAGTCATTTATTTGCAGCCCAAATCAAGCCACTATAGAACAAGGAAATCATTGGTGCTCTATTACACTGTTTGGGGAAATAATTATTGTTTTAAGATGGAGAGCAGAGTGACTCTCTAGATGTCTGAAGCTTACTGACTACAATGCAAAAATATGTAGAAAGGATTTAATCCCATCTCAAGATACAGATAGTTACTAGTATGACGTATACAGATTATTATTATCTCTTTTATTCATTAAACTTGAAACTCAGTCAACCAATCATTTAAAAATGTGTCACAGATACCATTGACGGGCACTGATGATTAATACGGGTTGCTGCCAGCATCCTAGTTTTATCATATTATTATATACTTTATTCGTTAAACATGAATCTCAGTCAACTGAACATTCAAATTATGATGATGATGATTTACTTTATTCATTAAACATGAAATTCAATCAACTGAACATTCAATAATGCATCACAAATACCACTGACTGGTGCTAATGGTTGATACGGGTTGCTGCCAGCGTCCTAGGGATCAACCAAGTAATTTTATAAGTAATATTATTATTATTATTGTCTTTTATTCATTAAAAATGAAACTCAGTCAACTGGACATTTAAAAATGTGTCACAAATACCATTGACTGGTGCTAATGGTTGATATGGGTTGCTGCCTTATTATTACTACTACTACTATTATTATTATTATTATTATTATTATTATTATTATTATTATTATTCACAACTAATTTCTCTTTTTCTTTCTTCTCTCTCTCTTCCTTTCAGGCTTACTGTATTTTAGCAGGATCTTTGGTCTCAGAAGGAGGTACGTCACCTTCAGAAAAAAAATGTGTCAAATCTTACAAGTATACAGTAGTTTTTTAGACAAATTAAGTCCTTTACGGATGTGAGCATTCTAACCTGTCAGAATACTGCTGTTTAATACCTACAAATAAAAAAACTCCCAATATTAAAAAGATTATGCAGTATCAGGATATATTCCAGCAATCTCTTACACGGGCATTTTTTTCCGCAGGCTGGTTGGTTTTTGATTTCATAGCCAAGTATCATCACCCCAATTAGCAATTTAAAAAAACCCACATACTACAGGCACCATATAAATACAAACAGAGCCTTGGTAGTACAGTGGTCTAAAGCACCCTGTTGTTAAGACCAGCTGCCTGCAATTACTGCAGGTTCGAATCTCTCCAGGCTCAAGGTCGACTCAGCCTTCCATCCTTTCTAAGGTAGGTTAAATGAGGACCCAGTTTGTGGGGGCAATAAGCTGACTTTGTATAAATATACAAAAGGATGAAGGCTATTGCTTAACGCACTGTAAGCCGCCCTGAGTCTCCGGAGAAGGGCGGCATATAAATCAAACTAAAAATAATAATAATAATAACACACCCAAAACAGCCCAAAGCCCACACTTTGCTAAGAGAGAAGTTCCCTAAAAATGGGCTCCGGCACAAATCTTTGAAAGATTAAATCTCTGGCGCCAGTGACCGACTGGATCAGATTGGATCCTGGTTAATTGTCTGTTGGCCAGAAAGAAAAGGACTTGATGTTAGGGAACCCAGTGAGTTTCTAGAAAAGAAAGGGATGGAGGCGTGAAGGAAGTCCATGAAATCCTTGATTCCAGCCCAAGAATTTCAGTATCTCTCAGGGCCCCAAAGCTTTCCCACTCCAGATTATGTTCAGCTGGTTCTTGCTCGTGAGATCATCTGAACTGACCCCCTTTTTTCTCCAGGTTTAAAACCGGGAGGGAAGCCAAAATGGAATTGGCCAACTTAGAGAAATCCCAAGTCTTACGTGCCACCAGAGGGATAACAATACTGAGAAAAATTCTTAGAATTATATGTTTTTATGTTGTTTGTTAAACTTTCATGCAAGAGATGTGGTGGCTCAGTGGCTAAGACGCTGAGCTTGTCGATCAAAAGGTCGGCAGTTCAGCGGTTCGAATCCCTAGTGCCGCGTAACGGGGTGAGCTCCCGTGACTTGTCCCAGCTTCTGCCAACCTAGCAGTTCGAAAGCAGGTAAAAAATGCAAGTAGAAAAATAGGGACCACCTTTGGTGGGAAGGGAACAGCGTTCCGTGCGCCTTTGGCGTTGAGTCATACCGGCCACATGACCACGGAGACGTCTTTGGACGGCGCTGGCTCTTCGGCTTTGAAACGGAGAGGAGCACCGCCCCCTAGAGTTGGGAACGACTAGCACATATGTGTGAGGGGAACTTTTACCTTTACCTTAAACTTTTATGCTTCCCATCTCACTGATCCAGCAATTCTGGGCTGGCGGCTTATAATAGAAGCGCAATATTGAATTGTTTCAGGGTTGCCGTCTCATTTTTAAGTGATAACTTTTGTAGATTCTTTTACCAAATTTTTTTTTAAAAAAATCTGTGCGGGTGGGAATGTGAGACTTTTTTCCTGTCATCTCCTTTAATGAAATAATTGTGTTGGTGCTGTTGCAGCTACTCTTCTGGTAGCCATCAACGAAATCCGAAGGAGCGCCCGAAGCAAAGGACTCACGTTCTACCAGTATGGTATGTAGATTTTAATAAGGCAGGAATTGGCTCAGCCACGTTCTTTTTTTAAATGTGCTTTAATAACTCTTAATAATTTACTGTATTTTTCAGAGTATAAGACTCACCTTTTTCCCCCCTAAAAGGGGGTGAAAATTTAGGTACGTCTTATACACCGAATGTAGCCCCACCCACCCACTGGCACCCATCCTTTGGCCTCTGCCTCCCAGCAGTTTACCTCCTTGCAGCAAGCAGCAAGAAAAAACAGCCCATTTCAGCTTCAGCACAGCCTAATTTGCACAAGTTGATTGGATCAGCCTCCCGACTCTCAGCTGTTTTGCTCTCAGCTGTTTTGCGCAGGGCTCCGCTGCTTGCTGCAAGGAGGTAAATTGCTGGGAGCAGATTTTTTTTTTTCCTTGTGCTAATCAAGCTATGCTGAAAACGAAACTGAAAGTAAAGCAGGCTGTTTGCTGTTTGCTGCAATGAGGCAAAATTGCTCAGAGGCAGACGGAGATTTCTTTTTCTTCTTTTCCTCACCAAAAAAGGTGGTGCGTCTTATAGTCCGGAGCATCTCATACTCCGAAAAATATGGTAGGTACAGGTAGTTCTCGAGTTACAACGGTTTATTTAGTGACCGTCCAAAGTTTCAACGGCACTGAAAAAAGCAACTAACGACCATTTTCCGCAGTGACAACCTTTGTAGCGTCCCCATTCACGTGTGATCAAAATCCAGATGCTTGGGCAACCGGGTCTTACTTACAACCGTTGCTCACATCATCCTTTTTTGCGACCTTCCGACCAGAGAAGCCTGATTCACTGAACAACCGCGTTGCTAACTTTTCAGCTGCGGGGATTCACTTAACAATGGTGGCAAGAAAGGTCGTAACATGGGGCAAAACTCACTTCACAAATGTTTCACTTCAGCGACAACAATGTTGGGCTCGATTGCGGTCATAAATCGAGGACTGGCTGTATTGCAAAGAAGGAAATGATTATTATGACAGTTAAAACCTATTTGTATATGCCGCTCTGGAATTGTATCGGTGTACTAATTTCTTTTTAATGTTCAGTTATTCAGGCTTGCGATCCGAGCACAAATGTTGTGTTGTTAGAAGACACGGCAGCAGTTCTTGGCGTGACGCTAGCTGCTACCTGTATGGGGCTGACTTCTCTAACAGGTGAGTCCTTGGGTTATGTGAAGAGCAGTAGGTGAAAGCTAGAGTGGATGTTCTTATATGGTAACAAAGCTGGAATCATTTGTCTATAATTAGCTGAATGAATTATACTTTCTGGGTTTTTTTATATATAATTTTTTTTTAGTGAGAAAGAGTTTATACAGGATTAAAAGCTACTGAAACAAAGAAAAGATTAAAAGAAAGTAAAAAGTATTAAAAGGAAGGGGGGGAATGAGAAACATTGGAAATCCAAGAAAGAGAAGAAAAGAGGAGAAAGAAAAAGACAAGAGGAGAAAGAAAAATGACTAAAAGAACTTACTTCTGATCTTCGTTTGGGTGTTTAGGGGTGGGGAATTGTGGTGGATGAGTGAGTGTTTGGGGATTGTTACGTGTGTTGGACCTGGTCTTTGGGTGTTAAGTGAATTTCGTTGTATGGGTATACTCTGTATACACGTACAATGACAATAAAGTTGTTATTATTTGGAGCAGTTACAAATGTGATTATTATTGTCCCCCAAATAATTATCATGGTTTTCCAGCTAGGAACTCGAGACTCCAGGCATGGGTATCATTCTGTCTTCTGGATCCATGGACTGGGTTCAAATTGTAGAGACGCCCCCTCTTGATGCCACTCCCAGTTTCAACTCAGTCCTGAGCTCGTTAGGACGTACTCTGGGGTTCTCTTTAAAATTAATCGCAGCAATTTGGCTGATAGGATTTCTGAGATGGATTAGGAGTTCGGTAAAGTATAGAAATTTTCACAGTTTGATTGAACCCCCCTTTGGTGAGGTTTGCTTTCCTCATGGCTTGTTTAAGGCAGCATGGAACCTTGAACAGTAGGGAGGAAATGGTTGGGATTTCAGGATGGTTGGTCTGAACTGTGTCCAGGAAGAGAAAATTTGTTGTTTTGGTGCCAAATGGATGGGGCCTTTTTGTGGGAATTAAAAGAATGGAATGAAATGAAATGAAGTGCAATGCAATGCAATGCAATGGAGAGAAGTGAAGTGAAGTGAAGTGAGATGCGATTCCCCCCCCCCCCGCCCTGCTTAATCCAGTCTAGTCAGACAGCTGAGTAAATAGAATATAAAATTCTTTATTGGCCAAGTGTGATTGGACACACACAAGGAATTTGTCTCCGGTGCAGAAGCTCTCAGTGTACATACAAGCAACAAAGTGAAAAAAATCATGATCGGAATCATAAAATGCAATCGTCATAAATTATAAGTCAGTGATCGTTGTAGGATACTAAATAAGCAATCAACATAAATCGTGAGATACAACAAGAAGTTATAGTCATGAGAATCGAAGGAAATAAGTTATAGGAGAGATGAGAAGGATAATAAGTAATACAGCCCTACTAGGAGGATAGGATAGGATAGGGAAGATAGGATAGGAAAGGAAGGGGAAGGAAAGGAAAGGAAAACAGAGTTGGAAGGGACCTTGGAGGTCTTCTAGTCCAACCCTCTGCTTAGGCAGGAAACCCTATACCAGTGGTGGCGAACCTTTTACTTACCGAGTGCTGAACAGGAACATGCTGGGCGCGCTGGCGTGCCATCCGCGCTAACACACGGCTCCTCCCCATGTGCTGCGCGCGCAACCACACCATCTGTGCATGCGTGTGGTTTTCGCGCACGCAATGCACACGCACAAACACTGCGCAGGTACATGCTGCGCACCAGTCGACTCACACGCATGTGCAAACGAGCTCCAAAGACCAGCTGGGTCCCCTGAATTGCGCGCACGCGCACCAGAGGCCCGAACACCAGCTGGGGCGCGCGCACGCATGCGCAGCTTCAGGTGAGTTTGGCGACGGCTCACGTGCCCGGAAAAATGGCTCTGCGTGCCATAGGTTCACCATCACAGCCCCTATACCATTTCAGACAAATGGTTATAAGGTGGTTTGACATCTCGGGGCATAAGACAGTGTTGTGGGAATTCGTTGTTTAACAGTGATTTTATGTGGCGGGGGAAACTTTGTGTCTGGTGGTTACGGCATACAGCGCCCTACAGCATCGTCTTGAGGGGAGAAATTGAAACTGTTTATGTCAAGGATGTGAAGGGTCTAATAAATAATAAATAAATGCATTCATCTTTAAAATGGCACATACTTTAAGCTGGTGTCATTTTTCCTCCCCTGGATATGCTTGTGGGGTAGTTTAGGAAGAACTTGAGATGCCTTAGCTTGTATCTCCCGATAGCTGAATATTTATTTATTTATTGATTGATTGATTGATTGATTGATTGATTGATTGATTGATTGATTCGATTTATATATGCCGGCCTTCTCCGGAGACTCAGGGTGGCTTACAATGCGTTAAGCAATAGTCTTCATACTTTTGTATATTTATTTATTTATTTATTTATTTATTTATTTATTTATTTTTTGATTTATTTTTTTATCTGATTTGATTTGATTTGATTTTTATACCGCCCTTCTCCAGCAGGACTCAGGGCGGTGGACAGCCAAAGTAAAAACACAGCATACAAAATACCTGCTTAATAGGGCTTTTGGCCCCCCCTAAGCGGTGTTCTTTTTTTATACAAAGTCAGCTTATTGCCCCCACAATCTGGGTCCTCATTTTACCTACCTCGGGAGGATGGAAGGCTGAGTCAACCTTGAGCCTGGTGAGATTCGCAGTAATTGCAGGCAGCTGGTGCTACTTAACAGCACTTTAGTCCGCTGCGCCACCAAGAGATACCGAAAAATTTCCACTTGTGATATTCATTGGGTGACTGGGTTGTGTTTTTTTCCCCCCCTGTTAGGTAACCCCTACTATGACAGTTTGGGCTCCCTGGGCGTGGGAACTTTGTTGGGAGTTGTGTCGGCATTCCTCATCTACACTAACACAGAAGCTCTGCTGGGCAGATCCATCCAGCCCGACCGGCTTCAGAAGTTGACTGAGTTACTGGAATGTGATCCTGCCGTGCGGTAAGAGGACTCCATCGGAGAACCCATGGGGAACGATGGATTGGCTATAATAAACCAGAATAAAAATTAGAGCAGAACGTTGAAAATGTGGAAGGGAAATTACCAAGAGACTCTTTCTCATCGATCAGGATTATTTATTTTTATTTATTTTATTAAATTTCTATACCGCCCTTCTCCCGAAGGACTCAGGGCGGTGAACAGCCAGAAGATAAAACACAGGAAATACAAAATCTAAAATAAATTAAAACAGATTAAATTGAACTGTGGGGTCCTTGATGCTCTCTGAGCTGGGTTGTTTTCTGAATCCGAGGGGGAAGACGAACAGCTGAGAGAGAGGGGGAGAGTGGCTGTGGAGGAAACTGTGGAAAGGCAGAACCAGGCTGGGCAGCGCATGGGAGAGGTAGAACAAGGGAGAGGGAGTTCAGTTGCGCGCCCACCTCCTCCTCATCCTAGCGTGTGCAGGGAAGAGCGGAGAAGAGAGCAACGTGGGTTGCGTGGCTTACGAGGGAGGAAAGGGCCCCCGATTCCCTTCACAAGGCACGCTCTTTTGCTTCCTCTCACCACCCTCCTATTTATCTCAGAGCGATCCATGATGTCAAAGCTACAGATATGGGAATGAACAAAGTGAGGTTCAAAGCAGAAGTGGACTTCGATGGGCGCGTGGTCACTCGGTACTACCTGGAAAAACAAGACATTGAGCAACTCCTACAAGTACGTTAAAACCAACGCATAGCTTTGGACAAAATCTTGCCTCATTCAGGTGCAGTGATCTTTGCACTTTACTCAAGATGGGGGGTGGGGGGGAAATATCTGGTGTTCTAGAGATTAATTTTGCAGATTAAGTCTCTCGATGGCATTCAGCCCCCTAGATTTACACGTATCAACACCAGTCTACTATCATATCAATTTTTTTTTAATGTCACTGCGGTAAGCTCCGGTGGGAGAAAGCCTGGGAAGAAACTTAAAGAGTGAAGAAATGAAAATCTTTGCCAGACGATAATTTATCCTTCCTTCCTTCCTTCCTTCCTTCCTTCCTTCCTTCCTTCCTTCCATCCATCCATCCTTCCTCCCTCCCTTCCCTTTCCCTTCCCTTCCATTAACCCTCCTATCTCTATTCCCTTTCCCTTCCCCTTTCTATTTCTTCCCCTCTCTATTTCTTTCCTTCCTTCCTTCCTCCCTTCCCTTTCCCTTTCCTTTGCCCTCCCATCTCTATTTCTTTCCTTCCTTCCCTTCCCTTCCCCTTCCTTCCCTTTCTTTCCTTCCTTCCTCCCTCCTTCCCTTCCTCTCCCCTCCTTCCTTCCTTCCTTTCTTTCTTTCTTTCTTTCTTTCTTCTTCCTTCCTTCCTTTCTTCCCTTCTTTCTTTCTTTCTTTCTCCCTCCCTCCTTCCCTTCCCTTCCTTTCCCTTCCCCTCCCCCTCGCTTCCCTTTCTTTCTTTCTTTCTTTCTTTCTTTCTTTCTTTCTTTCTTTCTTTCCTTCCTTCCTTCCTTCCTTCCTTCCTTCCTTCCTTCCTTCCTTCCTTTCCCAACCTTTTATGTGTTTAATTTGACGGCAGGAGATCCAGCAGGTGAAAACGCTAGAAGATTTAGAGGCGTTTATGCTTAAACACGGGGAAAACATCATTGACACTTTGGGAGCAGAAGTGGACCGACTGGAAAAAGACCTCAAGGTAAGGAGTTGGCGGCCGGCCGGCCCAACAAACAATTGTACAAGTGAATAAAATGTTAAATTTGACAGTCACATTGGACTGGGAAAAATCCCTGTTGACTCTGAGAACTTAGGGCAGAGAACTGGTTGTTAAAAAACACCGGGAACCACAAAATCTTTTTGATCTCTCTCTCTCTCTCTCTCTCTCTCTCTTCTCTCTCTCTCTCTCTCTCTCTCTCTCTCTCCCTCTCTCCCTCTCCCTCCCTCTCTCTCTCCTCCCTCCCTCCCTCCCTCCCTCCCTCCCTCCCGCTCTGTCTCTCTCTCTCTCCCTCTCCCTCTCTCTCTCTCTCTCTCTCTCTCCCCCTCCCTCCCTCTCTCTCTGTCTCTCTCTCTCTCTCCCCTCTCTCTGTATCTCTCTGTCTCTGCCCTGGCCACTTCTCCATCCCCCGCCGTCCCCCTTACCTTCTCAGGCCAGGCGAGGAGTGACTGGGAGGGGAGGGCGAGGGGCGGAGCCAGCCAGTGGTGGGATCACCCGACAGGGAGCCACAGCAGAGGGCCCAAAGAGCCGCATGCGGCTCCAGAGCCTCAGGTTGCTGACACCCGTCCATGGGGAAGCCAGATTCGCTTAACAACCGGGTTATTAACTTTTTAACAGCTGCAGTGATTCACTTAGCAGCTGTGGCAAGAAAGGATGTAAAATGCGACAAAACTCAACTTATCCCTTGTCTCGCTTAACAACGGTTGTGGTCGTATGTTGAGGACTACTTGTATAGCGTCCATTGGGCATGAATCCTTGGAGGAAGATGAAGGGATGAATAATAAAAAATAACGCACACACACACACATTCTCTCTCTCGGTTGCTAAATGAATCACTGCAGTTTTTAAGTTAGTAACCCAGTTATTAAGTGAATCTGGCTTCCCTGTTGACTTTTCCTTGTTGGAAGGTCGCAAAACGTGACCCCTGGGACACTGCAAAAACCAGTTGCCAAGCGGTCATAAGTCACTTTTTTTCAGTGCCGTTGTAACTTTGAACACTAAGTGAACTCTGCTGTAAGTTGAGGACTATCTGTATATACACCTGTGTGTCTGTGTTTGTGTGTTGAAAACTTCAGTACTGATAACGTGCCATCTTCTTTTTTAAGCCAAGTAAACATAATCCATTCCATTTCAGAAACTGAATCCTGAAGTACGGCATGTAGATCTGGAAATACTGTAGCCTTCACGGAATCAACTTCTTCAGATCTCTCTCTCTTTTTTTTTTTTGGATCAGCTTCTTGGGAGGACAGGCCCCCGCGGAAACTTCGGAGATCTCCAAACGTCATTACCTTTTTAAGTTCCCTGATTTTTCACGCCGATCGGTTTGCATCCAGATCGGCGATGGCTTTCTTTTGAACCGGCTACTTAGAGCTGCTTTTACTGCCTCTTAACGTGGATCTGTAGAACATTTGCAACTAGACACTTTAAATAAGTTATTTACATGTCCGTTTGGCGGGCGGGAGGAAAATGTACCCTATATATTTTATTGCCCTATTTCAGATATTTTTAATGTGGTTTGCAGAACCGTTGGAAGACTGCGTTTCTGCTAGAGTCAATTTGAGGAATTCTAGTTTTGTAGTCTTTTATCTGCTATTTCTTTTTCTTTTCTTTTCTTTTTTTCCTCCTTGTCTGAATTTGGTGTCTGCAGCGTTGCCCACTCTTGTTCTCCCTCAGATGGTTTGAGATGCTCACTTCCAACCTCTGGCTCAGTGTTAGGATCTTGGCAAAGTCTGTAGCTTTAAACCACATGATCTGGACAGATTTTTGGAGATTTCCCCCCCCCCGTATAAACCATGTACATAAAAGCTGCAGGTTTTGGAATTGTGGTGCTGGAGCGGTACTTGAGATCATTTAACGGGTGGGCTAAAAATTTGGAAGGTTTTTAAATCCGCGTGCTCATCTTCCAGCTGTTGACCTTGCGATATCAAAAGGTCAAACCCGAAAATCACTTCTTATCATTTGGCTTGTTCTTAATCTCCGTTGTGTTTTCCTTTTGTGTGACGATGGATATTATTATTATTTTTTTGTGTGTGTGTGTGAGACACCAAGAGGAATATCAAGAGGAACTTTCCAGATGTTCAAACTTGTCCTTCTCCAAACCTTGGCGCCCTCCAAGCATGGCGGACTTCAAGGGCCGCCCAGACAAGTGTGGGAATTGTAACGGAGCACATCTGGAAAGTGCTCTAGATCGAGAGAGAATTGTTCTCTCGGAAAATATGTCATAAATGCTAGGTCCTCATCGTCGGGTCCTGCTCGTCCCAAAACACTGAATTTGTTTTCGAGTAGCGTCTTGAAAGTAATGCCTGATAACTTAAAATACATTTGATTTTTTTTTAAAAAAAAAATTACAATCGTACTAAGATGGCCCCAAACAGCATCTTAAGGAACTGTTTGAATGTTGAATGTATTTAGAATTGGTTGAGTTTGAGGAATGGGCAGATTGGAGAGTGAAGGTATAAAATACTTCTTCCTGGGGAATATCAGGACGCTGCTACTAAATGTAGCAGCTCTCTGGGTTACTCGGAGGAAGAAGAAGAAAGGAAGGGATGCCTGGGCATTACATGTGGTGGGTTGAGATCCAAACTGCCAATGCTTAAGCTGGGCAGATCATGAGCTAATTGGCATTGAAGGGCTTTTTTCCCCCCTCTATAAATAGAAAGTCAGGAAAAGTGTGCTGTGAAGTTTACAGAGATTCTCAGTCCTCCAAGACACGGTTGTCCCAAAGGTGCGTTTTTTGTTTTTTTTTTTTCCCAAGAAGCAACTGGACTGCCTGGTTTTTCTTTTGAAGACGTTTCGCTTCTCATTCCAAGAAGCTTCTTCGGCTCCGACTGGATGGTGCGGAAGGGAAGGATTGATACCCCTTGCAGAGAGCTGGTCATTTGCATCCTTTTTAGAGAGTCATTGAAGCACTTGGAGGTTTATCTGTGTCCTCGGAGTCAAATGGGTGGGGAGTCCACAACGCAGTCCTTTCAGCAGTTCCAAGAAGGTTCTCCACACCACTCAGGTGACCCTGAGGACACAGAGAAACCTCCAAGTGGCCTCAACGACCCTCTAAAAAGGATGCAAATGACCAGCTGTCTGCAAGGAGTATCAATCCTTCCCTTCCCCACCATCCAGTCAGAGCCGAAGAAGCTTCTTGGAATGAGAAGCGAAACGTCTTCAAAAGAAAAGTCCAGTTGCCTCTTGAAAAAAAAAACAAAAAACGCACCTTTGGCACGTGTGCTCTGAAGCTAAACCACGCATAAAAATGGCGATTGACACATGCATTCACACGACTTGTGGAAGACTTGATATACGACCCGGCTACCTTATCATGGCGAGGTGGCATCCGTCTGCAACCTTGGAGCCACAACGCTTAACTCACAGAAGAAAAACCGCAATCAGGGGGGCCGTGGCCGTGTGAGAAATGCACAACCTCTGGCGCATCTCGGTGTCATCAAAGCACCAATGGCAAGTTTGCAAAAGAAGCTTCAATCTTGTTCGAACCCCGTGGCACAAATTATGTGTGGCGACCAAAATGTGCCAGGTTGGTTTTAGTATGGAAAAAGGAAAACAATCACTTACTTCCTGCGTTCATAGCGTTTTGACCTTTCTATGCATGATTTGAATGTGTAATGATGCTATTTTATTTTTTATTTTTTTTTTAAGTTTCAGGAAAAACGGCTGTACATAATGTAATTAGCGTCTACCGATAAACCTTGTTCTGTACATTTAGAACGAAAGGCGTGTCTCCTTGTTTTCGGTCTTCGTGGGGGAAATTTCAAACTGAAGCCAGGTTCCCACAGACCCCTAAACGTCATTCCCTTAAGTTTGATTGATGCCACAGAAAAATCTAGACTTTCTCATCTGTGGACGGCTTATGGAGATGTTCAGGAAACTAATCCAGGAGAGAAGCAACCTAGAACTAAGGAGAAATTTCCCGACAGTCAGAGCAATTAATCGGTGGAACTACTTGCCTCCAGAAGTTGTGAATGCGCCAACACTGGAAGTTTTTAAGAAGAGATTGGACAACCATTTGTCTGAAGTGGTGTAGGCTTTCCTGCCTTAGCAGGGGGTTGGACTAGAAGACCTCCAAGGTCCCTTCCAACTCTTATTAGTCTGTTATCACAGTCATCTCTGCCTTGCACTTTGATCTTCCATGGATTTATCTGCAGAACATGAAGCTGATTTTGAGAGAATGTTAGGAATTATATCCGGTGTGTGTGTGTGTGTGTGTGTGGAATCCCTGATCTATGTACTCACCAAGGGATCCAAAAACTTATAAGTACAAGCAAGTGCAAGACCAGATCTCTACTCCAGTAGAGTAGAGTGAAGTGGAGTGGAGTGGAGTGGAGTGGAAGGGAAGAGAAGAGAAGAGAAGAGAAGAGAAGAGAAGAGAAGAGAAGAGAAGAGAAGAGAAGAGAAGAGAAGAAGAGAAAATACGGAATGGGATAGAATAGAAAATATGGAATTGAATAGAATAGAAAATACGGAATGGAATTACAATAGAAAATATGGAACGAAATGAATAGAAAATATGGAATTGAATAGAATAGAAAATACGGAATGGAATACAATAGAAAATATGGAACGAAATTGAATAGAAAGAATGGAATGGAATAGAATAGAAAATGCGGAATGGAATAGAATAGAAAATATGGAATGGAATTGAATAGAAAGAATGGAATGGAATAGAATAGAAAATACGGAATGGAATAGAAGAGAAAATATGGAATGGAATAGAATATATGGAATGGAATTGAATAGAAAATACGGAATGGAATGAAATAGAATAGAAAATACGGAATGGAATAGAAGAGAAAATATGGAATGGAATAGAAAATACGGAATGGAGTGGAATAGAAAATATGGAATAGAATAGAAAATACGGAATGGAATAGAATAGAAAATACGGAATGGAATGGAATAGAATAGAAAATACGGAATGGAATGGAATAGAACAGAAAATATGGAATAGAATAGAATAGAAAATACGGAATAGAAGAGTAGAATAGAATAGAATAGAATAGAATAGAATAGAATAGAATAGAAAATGCGGAATAGAAAAATAGAATGGAATAGAATAACTGAGCTGGAAGGGACCTTGGAGGTCTTCTAGTCCAACCCCCTGCTTAGACAAGAAACCGTATATAATTTCAGGCAAAAGGTTATCCAATCTCTTCTTAAAAACTTCCAGTGTTGGAGCTTTTACAACTTCTGGAGGCAAGTGGTTCCACTGATCTTTTTGGGCATGCCGTGGTTTAGCATCGTCTCCCAGCCCACTCACTCACAACCAGTTGTGTTATTTTCAAAGCCCAGGTATCTTGCTACTCCTTGCTCAATCAAAGTTCAATTTCACACCATACAAGGACTCAACGACACATAATTCGTAAGCAAACAGACAGGCAGCGTTAAGAGATTTTTATTTTTATTTTTATTTATTTATTTTTATTGTGCATTGTTATGCAACAGAACAAATGGATCGAAAGCATATATAACTAACCAAAACCCACTATTAACACCACCCAAAGTAGTAAAAATCCTAGTAACAAAAAATTTCCTTATAATTAAAAAATAGCACTGTTTTTTTTTTTTTTTAATTTGCTTTACGCTTCCTGTGTTTACTTCCCGGAAAGAAATGTCGCTTGGTGTCATTAAAAAAACAACAACAATTCACATATGCTATAGAAAATTTTTCACCAAAACACAGCTAGGCTATATTACATTGTTCACTTTGTACAGCATCAGGATTTTTTATTATTTATTTATTTATTTTTGTCTATCCCTAAGTTGTGATATACCGGTACCTTATTATTACACCAGACAAATTCTTCATATAATCAACTTACAGCTTTTGTTAACAATAAAATATATCGGAAGGGATGAATTCTAGGCCACGGCAATCCACAAATATATTTTTTCCCCCCTAGAAAATGGAAGGAAGTCACGTTGGCACTGATGGGTGCATCGCAACGATACCTAAGTGGAAAAAAAAACAAAAACCAGCTACAAGTAACGCGAGGAAGATTTTGCGATCAAGAGTGAGTAAGGCAGCGGATTCCCTTCCGAAAAGGGCACTGAAATCGTAGACTGGATTCCATTGCAAGTTGGTCACAGATGCATTTCGATCCTGCAGTTAAAACTAACCAGGTTTCTCTCTGGGATTTAAATCCCCTTTGGGGTTTATACAGGCAGTCCTTGACTTACACCACAATTGACTTTGCTCGTCAGAAGGTCGCAAGGACCCTGCAACCGTCATAAGTGTGAGTCAGTAGTCGGAGGGTCTGGGAGGGAAAAAAAACGGGCCTACTGGAGGTTCCGGAAGTCCGGAAACGGGCCTGTTTCTGGCCTCCGGAGCCCAGGGTGCAGGCGGTTGACTAGGCCATGCCCACCATGGCCACGCCCACCCAGGAATGGGGCAGCAAACCCGTTGCTAAAGGATCTGAAGCCCACCCCGATGGTGAGGAATGGAAGGATTGATATTCTGGTCATTTGCATCCTTTTAGAGAGTCGTTGAGGCCATTTGGAGGTTTGTCTGTGTCCTCGGGGTCAGTACCTGAAGAGTACAAAAGGGTGTGGAGCCTTCTGGGAACTGCTGAGGGGACTGTAAGAAGTCTCCACGCCCATCTGCACCACTCGGGTGACCCTGAGGACACAGACAAACCTCCAAGTGGCCTCAACGACTCTCTAAAAGGATGCAAATGACCAGCTGTCTTCAAGGAGTATCAATCCTTCCATTCCTCCCCTTCCCCAGCCAGCATTTCTGGCTGGGGAATTCTGGGAGTTGAAGTCCACAACTCATAAAGTGGCCAAGGTTGGACACCTGGCTGTAGATAGATGTTCGATTCCCGGTTCATCTGGCTGGATTTTGCCGAGCTCGTCGGAGCCCGGCATTTTCCCAGCCAGTCCCACCGCGTCGCTTCCGGATTCTCAGATAGATGTTCTATTCCCGTTGGACTTTAGAACACATCGTGGGAAACCGAAAAGAGGAATCTGAAGAAAAGAGTCGGGTTTGAGCACTGCGGTAGCAAATCTCGTTTGGTATTGCATAAGTGAGGTCTTTTTCTTACGCAGCTTCGATGCGCGGAATTCAAACGGCAGGTACCTTCACACTAACACACCAACACGGGATCGCACGCAGGTTTACATAAAAATGGTTCATATATGACATAATACAGTGGAGCGACGCGGGACACGCGTGCGTCCTATTGGACACGTTTCACCAAAGAGATGGACAAGTCTCGTCACAGGGAAGTGCACACACCACTAAAAAGACCACACCGTAAGAAGAAATGTGGCATTGTGAGGTAATTTTGTCACATACACAACACGAAACAGCTAGAAGAAGACTTGCTACAGTTTGGGAAGAATAGACATCATCATCATCATCATCATCATCATCATCATCATCATCATTATTATTATTATTATTATTATTATTATTATTATTATTATTATTATTTAAATATACACAGGTTTTCCGGTGGCTTCGAAATTCTACCGATTAGATTAGCAGATTCGATGGAGGAAGAGATGTGGGGGTGAAATCTCCAAATTAGAGTAAGATGGCAAAAATTGACATTTCTTCCAAATAAAAGTTTGAAGGAGCCGAGGGGTTTAAAAAATAATAATGATTAAGCTCCTTTCCATTCCAATGGAATTGAAATGAAAATGAGTTGAGCATGGCCTTGCAATCAATCAGGCTTCCAATTTTCCTCTTTCAATTTCTTAAAAAAAAAAATACAAAACCCAAAACACCTCCCTTAAAAGAAACATAATTTATATTAAAAAAAAGATCTATCTTCAAAGAAAAACGAAGTCCAATTGCCTTTTGAAAAGGAAAAAAGCACCTTTGGTACTCCCAGTTTAATGTTTCTAATGTTGTATTCAGAATGGTCTTCCTTGTGGATATTTAGACTGCCTTTTTAGCTTTAATTCATAAAGATGGTCTTTAAATCATCATCATCAGTTAATCCCTCCATAATCCCTTGTGGAGTGGAGTCTGGGCAACTCAATGGAGCTAGCAGGGTGTTTTAATGGCCAGATGCCTTTCCTGTCGCCAGTGCGGAGTTTTGTTCAGCAGATAAATTTAATCATGCCCAGAGAGAGAAAATACCTGCCTCTACCTGGAATCAAACTCACAGCCTCCTGATTGTGAGTTGAGAGCTCCAACCTCTAGACTACTGCACCACTCGTAGTTTAAACTTCATCTTATTCACCCACATTTAGCACGCATGACTGCAATGCCACAGATTTAAGAAACTAAGAATCAAAACGGGGGGTGATTGTGGAAAGGAAAGAAGAAAGAAAGAGAGAGAGAGAGAGAGAGAGAGAGAGAGAGAGAGGAACAAAGAAAAAAGGGAGGAAGGAACAAAGAAAGAAAGGGAAGGAAAGAAGGAAGGAAGGAAGAAAGAAGGAAGGAACAAAGAAAAAAAAAGGGAAGGAAGAAAGAAACAAAGAAAGGGAGGGAGGAAGGAAGGAAGGAAGGAACAAAGAAAAAGAAGGAAGGAAGGAACAAAAAGAAAGAAGGAAGGAACAAAGAAAGAAAGAAAGAAAGGGAAGGAAGGATGGAAGGAACAAAGAAAGAAAGAAAAGAAAGGAAGGAAGAAAAAGAAAGAAAAAGAAGGGAGGAAGAAACAAGGAAAGAAAAAGAAAGGGAAGGAAAGAAGGAAGGAACAAAGAAAGAAGGAAGGAAGGAAGGAACAAAGAAAGAAAAAAGGAAAGAAAGGGAAAGAAGAAAAACGAAAGAAAGAGAAATAAAAAGAAAGAAAAAAAAAGAAGGGAGGGAGCGAGGAAGGAAGGAAGGAACAAAGAAAGAAAGGGAAGGAAGGAAGGAACAAACAAAGAAAGAAGGAAGGAACAAAGAAAAAGAAAGAGGGAAGGAAGGACGGAAGGAACAAAGAAAGAAAGAAAAGAAAGAAAGAAAGGGAAGGAAGGAAGAAAGAAAGAAAAAGAAAGAAAGGATGTGACGAAGGAAAGTTAAAAAGCAAAATTGTGATTGCACCTAATGAAACAAGGAGAGAAAATCTGTTTTCTCTTAACCTGGGTTTGATTGGCTAATGCAGACCTACCAGAATGGGAGAATAATTTAAGCGCCTTCTGAAGAAAACCATAAACACAAATATGGATTACGGGCAACTCCCCAAACAAAAGGAGGTTTCCCCCCATGATCCCACCCCATAGATCCATGCCGATGTTTTGGATATCTTTCAATTACAGGGAAAATTTTCATACAGGTTGCCCTCCACTTACAATCATTCGCTTAGTAACCGTTCCGAGGTTACAACGGCACAGAAAAAAAGGGATTTTAGGACTTATGTCCGTTGCAGCCCCCCCCCCCCAGGAATCACGTGATCCAAATTCAAACGCTTGGCAGCTGCCTCATATTTATGACGGTTGCAGTCATAAATATGAGGACTGCCATCGTCATAAAGATGAGTCACTGGCCAAGTGTCTGATCATGTGACCATGGGGATGCTGCAAAGGTCGTAGGCGTGAAAAACGGTCCTACGGTCCCTTTTTTCCCCTAGTTCCGTCTTAACTTCGAACGGTCACTAAACCAATGGTAAATCGAAGATTACCTGTATTCCCTTCTTTGCTTGCAAGACGAGCGTTTAAACCAGGTTTTTCACAATCTGGCATCAATGACAACACAACCACACTTCCCTAAAGATGATGCACATCTGGCTGCAGGAGTCAATTTTTACGCACCGCCCTAGGACAAAACTCAATTTTCAACATGCTTTGGGTCCTTAATTCACATTAAAACAGAACACCGAACACCCAATCTCTTTGTCCTTCGCTTGCGTCCCCCCCTCCCCGTCCGGATTGCCCTTCCGTTCCCGCCGTCAGTCTCCGGAGCCATCGTGAATACCTCTGCCGAAGAGATCCTCGTGGCAACTATGTTGGTCAATCCCGTCGTAGTACGAGTTCCCGTTGTGCAGGAATGTCCCCACCGCCCTTCCTTGCCGGGCGTGTCCCACCGCGTCGCTGAAAACCTTGTTGATTTGTTCTTCGGAAGGCATCCACCAATCCGGGTTAGAGGTACAATGCATCCGAATGAATTCTGCGAAGAAATCAGCAGTTCAGCTCCAGGGGTATTGAATCTGTGGGTCTAGGACAACGAGCCATGGCCAACTCGTCATGGCCAACTAGCCATGGCCAACCTACCAAGGTCAACTCATCAGTGGGACAACAATTATCGTATTTTTCGGAGTATAAGACGCACCTTTCCCCGCCCAAAAGGGGCTGAAAATTTAGGTACGTCTTACACACCGAATGTAGCCCCGCCCACCCACTGGCCCCTACCCTTTGGCCTCTGCCTCCCAGCAATTTGCCTCCTTGCAGCAAGCAGAAAGAAGGAACAGCTCGTTTCAGCCTAATTAGCACAAGTTGATTGGATTGGCCTCCCGACTCTCAGCTGATTTGCTCTCAGCTGTTTTGCGTGGTCCTCTGCTGCTTGCTGCAAGGAGGTAAATCGTTGGGAGCAGATTCTTTTTTTTTTCTTGTGCTAATCAAGCTATGCTGAAAACGAAAATGAAAGTAAAGCAGGCTGTTTGCTGTTTGCTGCAATGAGGCAAAATTGCTGGGAGGCAGAGGCAGATTTCTTTTTCTTCTTTTCCTCACCAAAAAGATAGGTGCGTCTTATAGTCCGGAGCGTTTTATACTCCGAAAAATACGGTACACTAATATCAAAGAAAGTTTTGGAATAGAATCATTGAAGAAAGGAGCGAAGCCAAAGGAGGGACAGAGTGAAAACGGGAATGGCAAAAATTTATATATATATATATAATGTCAAGCTTCATCCTCCCTTTTCTATGTCAGCGCTGAGACGCTGACATCTAATTTATTTGAAATAATTAAACAGAATTGTTAAATTGTCCTGTGGCGAGTTGGCCAGGGTGAGTTGTCCTTCAGCAGGTTGGCCGTGGCGAGTTTGCACTGAGTTGGCTGAGGCCAGTTGTCCCATTCTGTGAAGAAGTGGTCTTGTGAACTGGGCCAGCGGCAGAAATATGGACAATGGGCATGCAGATACCACCTACAAGTTTGATTTTTTTTTTTTTTTGTTGGGGAAAGTAATCCTCAACAGTACCCAAAAATGGAGTAGATTTTGTAAGGTGGTGGAACCCTCTGCCAGCAGCTCCCCTGAGTTCCATTTTCATTGGCAGAGGTACCGTGAGTTGGTCCTTTGTTGTTTTCAAGCCGGCCACGTGGGCCAGATCTTAGCACCTTGAGTTTTGACGCCCCTGATCTACACGGATGTTTCGTGCATTATTTTTGACCGTGAAACAAGATTGGCAGAGTGGCCCAACTTTGTTTGTCCTACCAAGATAAACAGGGTTGAGCTTGGACAGTACCCAAATAAGAAATCTCCAGAGCTATAGAAGAAATTTGGAAGAAATGAAGAAGGAAGAAAATAGAGGATGGCAGCGGCAAACCACTTCTGTACCAACTGATAAGAAAACCAGACGGACGCGTCTAGGCAGCCATCGAGAGACAAGCTGGCTCGAAGGAGGTGTAACCTTTTAGTAGGCTGCGACAGATCCTAGGATGCGTTGAGGGCAATATGTTCAGTGGCGAATGAATGTGTGAGGTGTCACTGATTGGTCCAGGACAGGAGTCGGCAACCCGTGGCTCTGGAGCCGCATGTGGCTCTTTCATCCCTCTGTTGCGGTTCCCTGTTGCCGGTCGGCTCCACAATTGGTAGGGCTTTCGGTTAGGACAGGTAGAGGAAAAAGGATGCCGTGCTAGGAGGAGACTCTATGGTGGGGGAACCGGACTTCCGGTTGGCTCCAGAATAGAACGGGGTGGGCGGGGGTGGGGTGGGGCTTCCAGTTAGGACCTTTGTGGCTCTTTGAGTGTTTAAGGTTGCCGACCCCTGATCCAGGAAAGATCTCCTTGGGATCTAGCGGAAGCAACCCAGGAGAACACATCACTCTCTTTAGATTTGAAGTTTAGAGGGAAAGAAGATTCCCATCGTCTATCGTGGATCTCCTAAGGGTTTCCTCAATCCTCAGGTTGAGACCCCCCACTGGAGGAAAGGCTCCAAAGGGAGGTGGCATCTCTTGTTGTTTCCTCTTGAAAAAGTGACTCCATCACTTGGTCACTTCCCCCAAAGGGCTCTCCCTTCTCTAAAAGGTAAAGGTAAAGGTTCCCCTCACACATATGTGCTAGTTGTTCCCGACTCTAGGGGACGGTGCTCATCTCTGTTTCAAAGCCGAAGAGCCAGCGCTGTCCGAAGAAGTCTCCGTGGTCATGTGGCCGGCATGACTCAATGCCAAAGGCGCATGGAACGCTGTTCCCTTCCCACCAATGGTGGTCCCTATTTTTCTACTTGCATTTTTTTTACGTGCTTTCGAACTGCTAGGTTGGCAGAAGCTGGGACAAGTAACGGGAGCTCACCCCGTTACGCGGCACTAGGGATTCGAACCGCTGAACTGCCGACCTTTTGATCGACAAGCTCAGCGTCTTAGCCACTGAACCACCACATCCCTTTTCTACTGCACTTTTCTCCCTTCTCTTTTTTTCCTCCCTTCTTTTTTCTCCCTTCTCTACCGCACGTCTAATGGGGTGAAATGAGATTGTGCATGGTGGTGGACGTTGAGTGAAAACATGCAGTACCTCTGAGACATGTTACTTTCACTGGATCCAGAGGGCGTCTTTCAGGACCAGTGTCTCCTGACTGCACTGACCTTTTTCTTTTTCCAAGGCCGCACGAGTACTTAAGCTCATCGGTGGTGAAGACAAATCTGATGAGGTACCGAAGGAGACGCCGCCCGTCTTTCTTGGAGGAGTTGACGGCCTCATCCCACTGTTTGCTAGTGATGAAGACGGGGTAATTGTTCAGCAATTGCTTGCTCCCCTGAGAACAACAGAACAACGGAATCAACAACAGAACAACAGAACAGAATAACAGAACAGAATAACAGAACAGCATAACAGAAGAGAATAACAGAACAACAGAACAGAATAACAGCATAACAGAACAGAATAACAGAACAGAATAACAGAACAGAATAACAGAATAACAGAACAGCATAACAGAACAGAATAACAGAATAGCAGAACAGAACAGAACAACAGAAGAACAGAACAGAAGAACAGAATAGAATAACATAACAACAGAATAGAATAGCAGAATAACACAACAGAACAGAACAACAGAATAACAGAACAGAATAACACAATAACATAAAATAACAGAATAGATGAATAATACCATTAACAGAATAACAGAACAGAATAACAGAACAGAATAACAGAATAGCAGAACAGCAGAACAGAACAGAATAACAGAACAGAACAGAAGAACAGAACAGAACAACAGAATAAAATAACATAACAACAAAATAGAATAGCAGAATAACACAACAGAACAGAACAACAGAACAGCAGAACAGAATAACATAAAATAACAGAATAGACGAATAACACCATTAACAGAATAACAGAACAGAATAACAAAATAGCAGAACAAAATAACAGAACAGAACAACAGAAGAACAGAATAGAATAACAGAACAGAACAGAACAACAGAAGAACAGAACAGAATAGAATGACATAACAACAGAATAGAATAGCAGAATAACACAACAGAACAGAACAACAGAATAACAGAACAGAATAACAGAATAACACAATAAAATAACAGAACAGAATAGCAGAATAATACAATAACAATAGAATAACAGAATCACAGAATAGAATAAGAAAATAACAAAACTGCAAAATAGCAGAATAACACAACAACACAATAGCAGATAGAATCACAAAAAACAAAACAAAAAACAGAATATAGCAAAATAAAACAATCACAGAATAGAATCACAGAATAGAATAAGAGAATAGCAGAATAACACAATAACAGAATAAAATAACAGGATAACAGAATCGGAAGGGACCTTGGAGGTCTTCTAGTCCAACCCCCTGCTTAAGCATAAACCCCATAGCAACCAGCCTTCCCAGGTGATCAGGAGGAAAAGGAAAAAGAGAAGGAAGGTAGACTTCAAATGCCAGATACACAAAAGTAAAAAAAAACGAAAGCACCTGTAAAATGCAGTAGAGAAAATCTGTAATCCAAACTGACACCCAGGGAACAAGGGATTATTCACCTTAATAACACTGTAAACAAAGTTGCATTTGCATTTTGTCAAACAGGAAGAGGAAGATAGAACGGGAACACCTTGGGAACAGAAGATGCTATTTATAATCTGCTTTTAGCAGGTGAGCTAAAGAGCATCAAGCTAGTGAAGGATCATATTTTCCATTCTTTTCTTAAAACGTGTTTTAAAAAAATGCCTTTGGATCGGTGTGAATGCAACAGGCCTTTTCGGGCAAACGGCAAACGTGGTAGTCCAGAAATGATTCTTTTAACAAACCGGTTTACACAAATCGGTGCGATCCCTTTTGTTTTGTGTTCTTAGAGCCACAGCAGTTACGTTGCACTACACCCAGTAAATACAGTTTGTTTGTTTGTTTACTTACTTACTTATCTATCTATCTATCTATCTATCTATCTATCTATCTATCTATCTATCTATCTATCTATCTATCTATCTATCTATCTATCTATCATTCATATTTCTATGCCGCCCACTCTCCGAGGACTCTGGGCGGCTTACACCAATAGACAGTATACTAAATAGCACATTGCCCCCAACAATCTGGGTCCTCATTTTACCCACCTCGGAAGGATGGAAGGCTGAGTCAACCTTGAGCCGGTGAGATTTGATCCGCTGATCTGCTGAACTAGCAGTCAGCTGAAGTAGCTGCAGTACTGCACTCTAACCACTGCGCCACCTCGGCTCATTGCAGCTGAACGGGTTAGATCTGTGGGAAGCCACCCAACCCCACCACCTTTCCTGGAAGAATGAAATATTCTGGGGAATATTTAAAAAAAGGCAGGATGAAATATTTCCCCTAAAAGAGAAATGAAAAAAAAACTTAAGGGAGACAGAAACTCAGAGCCCCAACTCCCTGCCCCCAGCAGATATTTTGCGCCCATTGAGAAAGATTGGGCCACGATGGCACAAAAATTTTGGAAGAAAATCAAAACTTGGATAGTAGAAATAACTCAGAATCCAATAGAGGGAAAACCGGAACAATTTGTTAGGAATTTCAATAGACAATTTATACTAAAGAAATACAGTACCTTATATTGCATATATTGACTGCAGCACGTATTGTATATGCACAATATTGGAAGAAGGAAACACTACCAACGGAAGAGGATTTAATTAAAAAAATTCTAGAATGTGCAGAATTAGATAAATTAACTAAAGAAATTAAGGGGAAAGAAGAATCAAAGTATTATAAGGTTTGGAGTAGATGGTATGAATGGTTGAAACAAGGAAATGAATGAAGAAAGGAGGGGGAAAATGTGTATGATCTTTTGTTAGTAAAGAAGAAATGATATAAAGTAGAAAATGAACGTCAAATAAGTTTATACTTAAATATTTGTAAATATTGATATATAGAAAGAGCAGACCGCTGTGTATAGCTGAAAAGAAAAGTGATATTTTTCTTTTTTGTGTTATTTTTTGTTGTATGTATATGTTTGATTTTTAATGTGTTTTTAATGTGTTTAAAATAAAAAACTTTTTAAAGAAAGAGAAAGATTGGGCCAGTTTATCTACAAAACAAAAGACCTTCAATTCCAGGATGATGGGATGAAGAAGAACAGGACATGATCCTTCAGAGCATAATAGGATTAACCCACTACCATTTAGCAGAAGACACAGAGCTCACTATATTGCACAATCTCCTAAGGGCGTTTCCTTCATTGCATCACCCCCGACGAACTTCAACCAAACCTGAGAGCTCAGACAACCTACAGAGCCAGTTATGACCCCTACATGACCCCTACATGGCACCATGGGAATCTGACAACAGCCAATCTTTAAATCTCACTTTTATTAGTTTTATAAACAACTCAAGGCAGCCAATGTACCGATGGCAAATATATTTAATTTATGCGATCAATGAATTAGATAAATGAATGTATTATTATTATTTAGCTAACTTGTACGCAAGCCCATCTCGCCAGAAGCGACTCTTAAGCGGCTTACGGGCATTCAGTTAAAAGGCACTATCAAACATTCAAACAAGGACCGTGCGGTTTAAAATTCGATCAATATTAATAAACTAATAAAAGGCTGTCGTATCTATATATCATGATTCGGAAACCTGGCTCATAAAAGTCCCCTTAAATTCTTCCTGAATTTAGCCTGCGTGAAAATAGACCTGAGGCAGGGGTGGGCTTTAAAATTTTTAGCAAGGGGTTCTCTTCCCGGATGCTGGGTAAACGTGGCCATGATGTGTGTGGCCTAGTCGGCCTCCTGCACCATGGCAGAGGGGGGTTTGCCCTCCCCGGGCTCCGGAGGCTTTCCTCGAGCCTCCGGGCAGGCAAAAATGGCCTCCCCAGGTTCCAGAGGCCCTCTGGAGGCTGGAAACGGGCCGGTTTCCGGCCTTCCCGAACTTCCGGTAGGCCCGTTTTTCACCCTCCCAGAGCCTCCGTGCGTGTCCTGCACTTACCTCGTACCCAAAACGGGCTGCGTGGAGACTTCAGGGAAGATAAGGGCTGGGCAGGGCCAGGCAGGAGTGGGATTTGGGGGCTCCCCGAACTGCACAGAATCTTAGCTGGTGGTCCTCCCTACGAACCCCCGGCAGCAGGGGTGGGTTCTAAATTTTTTTACTACTGGTTCTGTGGGCGTGGCTTATTTTGTGGGTGTGGCTTGGAGATCATGTGACTAGGTGGGCATGGCTAGCTGGTCAGAGTCATTTCTGGAAGGTCCTCGCACTTACGACCAGTCCTCGCACTTACGACCCGACTCATTTGTTTGCTTTTAACACCGATCAGCTGTAGGGCGGCCCTTTGAAGCCCCGTGGCAACAGTTTATAAACAGTTTTTTTCCCTCTAGTCATCAGCTGGGACTCAGGAGGCAGCAATAGATTGGGGGTGGGGCCAAATAAAAGGTAAGAATAACGTGGGGGGGTGGGGGGGAGAACCGGTTCGGTGACGTCATATCATCACTGCTACCGGCTCGGCCGAACCGGACCGAACCGGGAGGAACCCACCACTGCCCAGCAGCCCATCCTTGTCTTGAGGTTAGCTCAAGATTTAGATCAATTTGTCAACAGAGAAGTTAGTTTAGCAGCCATATAAATCTTATTGTTGAGACAGCTTCAGAAGATCACTGTTTCTTGGTAAAAGATAATAAATCTGACCTAATTATAAATGGCACCATTCAAATCTCTCTCGCTCTCTCTCCCCCCTCTCCCACTCTATTTTTGAGCTCCGCTCAATTGCCGTTTTAATATATGCACAGCAATCTCATTAACACTTACACACCGCTGCCTCTTCCACAGCATAGCACAGTTTTTTTGGTAAGCCACATCCTTGGGATGCAATCAGGTTTTGCAACAGCGTGCCACACACGATGTGTGGCACCCTTAACACCGGAGGAATGATGCTCCCTAAAGAGTCAAAGGCTTGCAAAACAGAAGAACATAAGCACTGGCACTGCTTAATGTGAAGATTAACAGATTAATAGAGTAGGGAGGGAACTTGGAGGTCATCCAGTCCAACCCCTCCCTGCCCAAGCAGGAGACCCTACACCATTTCTGACAGAGGGCAGCCCAATCTCTTCTTGAAAGCTTCCAGTGATGAAGCTCCCACAACTTCTGAAGGCAACTTCTGTTCCATGGGTTGATTGCTCTCCCTGTCGGAAAATGTCTCCTTATTTCCAGGTTGAACCTCTCTCCTTGATCAGTTTCCATCCATTCTTCCTTGTCTGGCCTGGAAAATAGCTTGACCCATTCTTCTTCTTTGTGGCAGCCCCTCAAATATTGGAAGATGCTCTCCTATCTCCCCTGGTCCTTCTCTTCACTAGGCTAACCATGCCCAGTTCCTGCAACCGTTCATCGTATGTTTTAGCCTCCAATCCCCTCATCATGTTGGTTGCTCTTCTCTGATGTTGAAGACCTTCTGGACAGAACCTCCACTGGTCCATCAAATGAGAGAAATAAGGATGTTGATTTAAAAAAATAAAACACACCTCACCTCTGTTTAAAGAAGTGAAACTTTCATCCATCCATCCATCCATCGAATACTGACCCATTCTTCTGAGAGCTCCTATGGACCAAACCTTTCCACTGATGTCCCCTCTTATCCCCCATCGAGACCTACCTCTGCCGGCTGCTCCACCGTCTGCGGCATCAACAGTTGATTATGATGCTGAAGGACCATCTTCAAATAGTCTAAAACAGTTTGGCAGGGCACTGCAAAAACAAGGAAGTTCCCACGATCACGCCGTGCTTATCTGACTAAGAGCAAAACTTAGTAAAGCAGGGGTCCCCAATTTGGCCCACGGTACACCACCGAGCCGTGGCCTGTTCGAAACCGGGCCATAGGAAAAATGGGCCAAGGTGTGCACGTATGTTTTGCCCCAGCTATGGATCCCAAAGAACGCAGCACACACAAAGTCTGTTCAAACCTTAGTTTAGTAAATAAACCAGTCTTTTACAAGAACAGCTGTTAATTAACTGCATTAACAGCTGCCAAGAATTCAAAGAATAATAACTGAAAGCTTACTATGGTTGGCAGAAAGCCCAGAAGCAATTTGCAGAGAATCCAGACGCGAAGGAGAGTGAACTAAAGTTGTTCCCTACAAATTGCTTCAGTTGGCGTTCCTCCTTAAATAGGCTAAGGGAGTGGCCAATTAGCCCCAAGCCTTACTCTCAAGGAGACCTCCTTGTGAGGAGCCACTCCTGCCTTTTGGCAGCTCTGCGCGCCTGTGCATCGAGAAGAGGCTCCTCCTCTTCGTCCTCTTCACTTATGGGAGCTTCTGGAGGTTCTGAAGGCCCTGGATGAATCCCCGCCTCTGGCCCCACATCTTCTCCAGCCTCCTCATTGTCCGACTCGAGTGCCAGCTGCACAGGCTACTGGTGCAGCACCACACCAGCCTCCTCACTGTCTGAATCAGCCACTAGCTGCACAGGCCGTGTACGGGCCACAACAATGTGGAGCTACACTCGTGTGAGCAGGGGTGGTGGTGCTTGCACACTCGTGCACGAAGCTCCACTCACACGAGTGGAACTTCGCTTCTGAGTACAAGCGCCCTCCATTTATGCAATACCTCCGAAGCACCTCTCTAGTAAACTGGTTTTTAAGTGAATCCGGCTTCCCCCTTGACTAGGCGTATCAATAGGTCGCAAAAGGGGATCACGTGACCTTGGGACCCAGCAATGGTCATTAATACAAACCGGTGGCCAAGCGTATGAATTTTGATCACATCACTACAGGGGATGCTGCCAAGGTCCGTAGCTGTGAAAAATGGTCGTCAGTCCCATTTCTCAGCCCCGTTACAACTTTGAACAGTCAATAAATGATTGTAAGTCTGTCTGAATTTGGCTTGTGGGGGAGTCATCCCCTGGATTGTTGAGCCGAGTGCGAATTCCTCTGGCTTAGAAAAGGTTGCGTTTTCAGGATACAGAACTGACAGCCAGGGGATTGAATAGGTTCAGTGGTGGGATTCAATTTTTTTTACTACCGGTTCTGTGGGCGTGGCTTGGTGGGTGTGGCATGGCTTGGTGGGTGTGGCTTGGTGGGCATGGCAGGAGAAGGATACTGTAAAATTCCCATTTCCTCCCGATCAGCTGGGACTCGGGAGGCAGAGACTAGATGGGGGCGGGGGTCAATCAGAGGTGGTAAAATCTTTCGGTAAAATCCCGAAAATCTCAGCCAATCGCGTCCGCTTACCTGGAATGCTCTCCAACTTTCTCCGGAGTTCCTCGTTTTCTTGTTGCAACGAAATGACCTCCTGCTCCAACTCTTGGCATCGCGGGCAGTAGCCTTCCTCCTCTTCCTCCTCCTCCTCGGGGAGCGTGGAAGACGATGGGTGACCGTGGGACTCCGAAGTCGCTGGGGAAGCCCATCCCCCCAACGTGTGCACCGGAGAAGTGGACAGCGGCTCCATGTCGGCCAAAGGACCAAAATCCCCGGCCGAGGAGGCGTGGTTTTGCGCGGCGAAACCTCCGGAAAGCAAATAGTTCTGGAGAGAATCGGTAAACACCCGCAGGAACGCTGAGGTCTGTTGCTTTTTCTGCATGTACTGCAATTCGAAGTCGAAGTTTTCGGAGGTCTGGCTGTGGACCATTTTCCCAAGCTGGCAGTGCTCCGGTCTCTCATTAAAAGCTTGGCTCTCTTGCTTCACGCAGGAAGGGAGCGGCGGAGGATGATGGTTGTCCAGGAGTTTCCCTCCGCAGTTTAACAGGCTAAGGACTCGGCTGCACTGTTGAGCGAAAGCATCCAATATCAAACGGCTCTCTGGAAGAAAAAAAAAAGGACATTTCACGGCCGGCGTCCAAAGCAGGCTCCATGAATGTTGCAAAAGCCATACCCACAAGCATGTAAACCAGTGGTGAAACCCAAAATTTTGCCCTACCGGTTCTGTGGGCGTGGCTTGGTGGGTGTGGCAGGGGAAGGATACTGCAAAATCTCCGTTCCCATCCCACTCCAGGGAGAGGATCAGGGGTGAATTCCAGCAGGTTCTAACAGGTTCTGGAGAACCGGCAGCGGAAATTTTGAGTAGTTTGGAGAACCGGCAAATACCACCTCTGGCTGGCCCCAGAGTGAGGTGGGAATGGAGATTTTGTGCAATATCCTTCCCCTGCCAGGCCCACCAAGCCACGCCCACAGAACCGGTAGTAAAAAAAATTGGATTTCACCACTGGGAAGGGTACTGCAAAATCCCCGTTCCCTCCTTACTCCTGGGAGAAGGATATTGCAAAATCTTCATTCCCACCCAGGGAAAGGATCGGGGTGAAATCCAGCAGGTTCTGGAGAACCGGTAGCAGAAATTTTGAGTAGTTCGGAGAACCGGCAAATACCACCTCTGGCTGGTCCCAGAGTAGAGTGGGAATGGAGATTTTGCACTATCCTTCCCCCAGGAGTGGGGTGGGAATGGAGTTTTTGCACTATCCTTCACCCCAGGAGTGGGGTGGGAATGGAGATTTTGCAGCATCCTTCCCCTGCCATGCCCACCAAGGCACGCCACCTCTCTAATGGCTGTTTTAACACAATATGACTAAATCCTGCAACACTTAAGCATAAATCTAAGTTGCCTTGTTAAGAAACGGCAGGACCCTGGAGAGCTCCGAGGAATGGCCGAAAAGTTGGCCAACTCAACGTTCAATGCTTTTCTTCAAAAGGAAAAAACAAAACGATGGAAGTCCAGTTGCCTCTTGAAAAAAGCACCTTCGGGACAACTATGACCTGGAGGACTGAGAATCTCTACAGACGTTCCTTGTAGACCTTTCATGACCCAACTTAGAAACATCATCAGCGCTAGGAATGAAGGTGAAGGAGAAAGAAGAAAGGAGGGAGAGGAGGACCTTGGGATCCTTGGTGCACTCTTGAGTTTGGTGGTTTTTCCTGCAAGATGTTCCATTACCCAACTAGATAACATCATCAGAGCTAGACAGGGCAAGCCCCATTCCCTCCTAGCACTGATGACAATACCTAGTTTGGTCATGAAACGTCTGCAGGAAAACCACCAACCTCAAGAGTGCACCGAGGATCCCACAGAAAAGAAGCTTTTGTGGAAGTCACAACTCTAGAAAAACACCCCAAACAGCAGCTGCACACTGACACAAAGGACTCGGCAAGCATTCTGATTCGATGATAAGAAGAGTCATGAAAATTTAAATGGCAGCTCCGGCTTTGATATCACAATGCTTTCCTTGCCCCTTCATTATTCACTCCCTCTCTATTTTGCTTTTTGGAAGGAAAAATAAAATAAAATACCGACGCATAATATCGATTCGAATTTTGTAATTCAAATACGCATGCTGTTTTTTGTCCCCCCCCCCATTCCTTTTTAATCCTATCATCACATCCGAGACCCGAAGCTGTATTTGCTCCTTGGCATTTTAATCAGGATTATCCTAACTTGGCAGAAATCCCTTCCTCCTTTTGTCTCCTTTCTTATCTGCTCCATCCGTTAATGAAGCTCCGATAGGAACACAGGGGTTTTGAAATATTGTGATGCCCTCAAGCTGAGTGTATTATGATTTTTCCCTGCAAAAGATCACTTCTGGCACTGCAAATAAAGATAGAAGCAACCTCTTGTATTAACAGATTTTTAAAAAAAAATAAAAATAAAAATCCGGAGGAGACAAAACACCAAATTAGAAATTAAGGCTGTTGCCATGTGGAATGCTTTTCCGTTTGATTTTTCCATTATGTCTCTGTTATTAATGATAATGATATAATGCAGAGGGGCAGGTTATTCCTCTCCGAGCGGATCCACGAAAGAAGGCAGGAGGAAAAGATATTTATTATGGATCCAGTTGGTAGTTTATAGCGTGGTACGATTTGCATAAACCGCAGGACAAAAAGGAGAGACAGATCCAAAGAATAATAAAAATAATGTTTTAATATAAACGGGTTGAGACTTTCCCCACCGTTACCAAAATTGAGAGACGTACTAATTTTGGAGGGGGGGAGTTTGGGGTTTTTTGCGGAGCACCTAAAGCAGAGGTCTTCAAACTTGGCAGCTTTAAGACTTGTGGACTTCAACTCCCAGAATTCTCCAGCCAGCTGGCTGGAGAATTCTGGGAGTTGAAGTCCACAAGTCTTAAAGCTGCCAAATTTGAAGACCCCTGACCTAAACAGAACCTCTTATATGTGTGGCTCTAAAATAGGGGTGTTAAATTCAAGGCCCGGGGGCCACATCTGGTCTGCGGGGTACTTAGATCTGGCCCACAGGGCCGCCCTGGAAACAGTGAAGGACCGGCCTGTAACGCTGCCCTCACGAGCTCCGTTT